ATAAATTTTGTCAAATCTGTTGAATCCAAGTCTGAATTCTCAAATCGAAGATTCTGAACTTGATATCTTTCAAACCTTGGTAATTTTTATAAATAACTACATGGTGTCTGGCAAAATGTAGGAAACCTATCGATTTCATAATATGGAACCTGAGATGACAAATTTCTGTAAGTTCTTTCCTACAGAGAATCCTTACGGAAATATGGGCTCCTAAACGACGCCGCTGGAATTCGTTTCTTCTTGAATAATTTTTCAAGTACCTAACTGATAGAATTTAATGAAAATTCAATATGATGGACACTATAGGAAGGAAGGGTTGCTTAGCTTTCGGCTATAAAGCTATCATCAGTGCATACCTGTAAGCTGATTACTTAATTAGAGGTATGTACTGATGATGGCTTTAGAGAGACAGAGAGAAATATACTTTATTGTCGAAGAAAAATAATTTCTTATTGACTAAGCTTGTACAAAATATAGTCTATATAACTCTTTAAAAAAATGTGAAAATATTGAAAATCAAAACACAAATACACAGAAACACACAATTTGATACAAGTTCACACGTCATGTATAAAATATTGCAATCTAAAACAGAGTTGGACCTGCAGATTTGTTGTTTGTTGAAAAAAAGTTTTATAATCATTTGCTGAATGCAAAAACACGAATATAAAGAAACACACAGTTTATAGCCGAAAGCGCTCTGCTACGATATTTTGTACAATTATTTATTTTTACTATAGTAGGGATCGGAAAATACTGGAAAAAGATAGATATTCAAATTTCCTCCATTTATTGCTTGAAACTCGGTACATAAGTATAAAGTAGTCTAACAAACGATATGGCTAATGATGGACTCTCTTGTTTTCCGAAACTTGTTCCCCATTCAAGCCCTAAAAGGATATTGAAAATTGTGTGGAAAATTTAGAATGTGGTTTTCGCACATTACCATTCTACTCTTAGGGTTGTTACATCATGGACTTCAACTCCAGATTATGATATGGATTGAATTAGTAAAATATCCAAATTAATGAATTGGCTGTGACAAGTTCTATTCAATTTGAATAATAACAGATAAAGACAAATGTCTGTTGATTGCTATCCCATGTCCCCAATTCTGGTTATTTTACCAATATCAGACTTGAAAGATTATCCTCCTACATTTACCAAAGGTCATCGTTATTTTCTCTGTACACGGCATTTTCCAAACTGTAAGAAACAATACAGGCAGGCGACGAGTAAATCCCAATTAGGCACTAGACGAAAATCTGAAATTTTGGCTTTTCCCAATCAACTGTGTAACTCACGAATTTAGCTCATATCCATCCATATCACGTCCAACTCATTTTTTTTATTCATCGGATTTTTTTTTAATAACAAAAATCAGTAATTCTCAAAAACGTGAGCTCTTAATGACGTGTTATACCGATAAGCATCATAGTATCTTGTCAATCAATGAGAGCCTAACCACATACCCAGCGAGCACAAAAACATCTCAGAGATGTTAAAAGTACGAGATTTCGAGACATTGACCTCCACTGCGATGTTCTGTTCACACGTGAATAGAACTATTATAGAACAGCCAATGTCCGCCGCAGGCGGCAATTATCGAGATGTCCTTGATTTGTCACAAAACTACCTTCTCCCTAGTTCTTTTTAATGCCTTTTCATGGACACAACAGAACATTTTCAACGCGTCTTGCGCACATTAAATCGCTGTAAAAAACCATTTTCGAGGTACTTTTCTGAAGCCTTTTGTCAAAATGAACTTTTGCATTAGGATTCCATTTCCCTTGAATGAAAAAATGCATTAAAAATAGATTGAACATAAAAATATTTTCTTGATATGAAATTACCTTCTTAATCGGTTTCTGAGTAGTGCTTACTACACACAGACATATAATTGGAAATAGGTTTCCCAATTTTTGAAATGTTCTCCACAATGCATAATTTTGCAACTGCGGAGAAGCTGTGTATTGATGAATTCGTACTTTTATATATTGATTACACTGGGGCACCGAACAACACATCTTGCATCTGATGGTCATTATTACAAACTAAATAAGTCTTATTCTAACACAATAAACTTCACCAAATTCCTTTCTGTTCGTTAGCAGCGTGATGTAAGCGTGACACGCTGCAAACGCGAATGCCAATTGCGAACAAGAAGAACAAAATCGAAAACAAGTCAGAATTCATCATATTGTCACGTAAGCATGAGACGTTGTGGTGGGGCAAACAAAGAATAAAGGGCACAAAAGAACAAAAACAATACTTTCAATATCCTTCTAAGACCTCATTGGGAAGTGCATATTACGCCTCAAAAAAACATCCTCATACCTACATTTCTAAAACATCCCAAAATATCCCAGGGATACCTCTCAGTAGGCAAACAAAGAAATGCCACAGAAGAACAAAAACAATACTTCAATATCCTTCAAACACCTCTTTGGTCAGTGCATAATACGTCTCAAAATATCATCTTCATGCCAACATTTTCAAAACATCCCAGCGATGTTTGTGCTCGCTGGGTAGGTAGCAAGTATCTACTTTTACTGTGTAATGAGATATACAGGGTGACATTTTGAAAACTTTCCACCCTCAATATCTTCCTTGCAGTGAATACTATGAGAAATCGAAAAATTGGTTCTTGGCCAAGTGGTTCAACCCCCTAGGAGGAGAAGATGTTACCCTTAGAATCTCAAATGAGAAGGGGGGTCAAGTGGCACATCATATTGAAGGACGTCCAATTTTCCAACGGAACCCTAGTTAATCATTTTCTGTCGAGCAGTTTCCGTAAAAATGTCGTGTCACTTAGAAAACTTCCCACCCGATGATATCTTCTTTTCATTAAATGACATGACAAATCGAAAAGACACGTCAATTCCATTTCTGAGGAAGACACTTGAAATGCCTATTATGAGACCTGTTAGTTCAACCCCCTATGAGAGGTATATGTTACCCTTAGAACCTCATATAAAAAGGGAGGTCAAGATGTCATTTTGAAGGGCGTTCAAGTCTCTTTTCAACCTCACCCTAATTTTTCATTTTTTGATAATCAGTTTCTGAAAAATGCCGTTTTAAACTTACAGAAGTAATAAGAACATGCCTGCAGATACCTCGACTGATATGCATGGTTTTCAGGCTGGTTTTATTGTATTGACCCTTTCAGTCATGGTAGGAAGATTTCCAATGCATTTCAGTGCAGGCATGTTCCAATTACTTCAGTAAGTTTAGAACGGCATATTTCGGAAACTGCTCATCAAAAAATCATAAATCTTGACGCCCATTTCATGTGAGGTTTTAAGGGTAACATCTACCCCTTCCTAGGGGGTTGAACCAATAGAGCTAAAGATATGCATTTAAAGTGTCCCCCTTGACATATAAAATTGACCTATCTTTTCGCTTTTTCATTTTATATACTGGAAGAAATATATAAAGGTTGGAAAGTTTTCTAACTGACACGGCTCCACAGAAAATGATAAACTAGGGTACCATAGGAAAGAGAATTGAACGCCCTTCAAAATGATCTGCCACTTGACCCCCCTTCCCATTTGAGATTCTAAGGGTAACATCTACCCCTCCTTGGGGGTTGAACCAAAAGGGCCCCTTTGAAAATAAAATTGACCTGTCTTCTCGATTTTCCATATTATCTACTGGAAGGAAGATATTGAGGGTGGGAAGTTTTCAAAATGTCACCCTGTATACAATGACCTGTCATAAATGTATTTACATGATCAAATAAATGAAATGAAATACATAAGTTATATCATATATTACATTTTCCCGCTTTTTTCATGTGATATATTGTTGATTTTAATGATTATTTGAAAAAATGTACAGACCTCTGAGGAATAACGGTTTGTTTCACCGAACTGATGAATTTCGCATATAAAAATTTTTATGGTCTAAGAGCGGTCGTCTTGTAGGATAAACGTTGTCTCCTCAATTTATTCATAGTTATAGTGGAATTGTTCAATTCGACAATCCCATATGGATGAACTGGGCATTAAGAAGACGACTTGTGAAAGTCCTTGTTCTTGTTTCATTTTATGACATGCAAGAGAGATTCTGGCATATATGCAAGTGTTGGGCTGGTTATTTATGCGAGTTTGACTTATTAACTAACTTGATAGTTGTCAATGGAAATAAAACCTTGATTGATGACATTGGAAATTGGAATACATGTTTATACATAAATGATCGTCAGGTTCTTGAAATAATGTAATCGGCAACTACAGGGCCGTCCTAAGTTTTGGTGCCATTAGGTTAACAATAGTAATGCGCACCTGTTGAATGGAAGCAGAATGACAGAAGTTTGATAAAAGTTTCAGAACCTACACAAATGTATTTTTTTTCTGAATAGCTTGACTTGAAAAATGTGTATTTCGCTGATATAGACAGAGTTTCCTCTATTATTCAACTCCAGATAGAACTAACTTGATCGTCGCCATGTATTTTATAATTTATCGCCCTCTGAAGGCTGGAGCCCCTGGGCTAAAGCCCACTTTGCCTAGTAGATAAGATGGTCCTGGTCAACCAGATCTAGATTTTTGGGTTTTTCGTTCCTCGTCTCTATAAAAAAAAAAATAGTATTAACCGTGTGTAGAAGTCCATAGTGCTAAAAGTGGAATGGTGGTTATTGAAAGAAGAAAAAAATCTCCAAGTCATATCCACGATTTTTAATAACAAAATGATACAATGGGGGTTGGGACTTTTTTCATGCTTACCATAAGCTTTCCATAAGCCAATCATCAGCCAAGAAAATTAAAAATTCTACAACAATAGTTTAAAACCAGTAAATGTGTTTAAGGAGCAAGATTCCATTGTACTTACATGGATGGAAAAAAGTTCCAGGTTACATGTAATAAAATTAAATTTTAGATGTTAGTTTTATTTCTGCTTACTTGTAGTGATGACATTTATATTACTTATTTAAAATTCTTCCATTCAGGCAACCCTGTGTAGTACAGCAATATTAACAATCATGCATTTTGTTTAAGGATACCGATGACGTTCCGATGGTTTTAGTAGGTAACAAGTGTGATTTAGAAGATGAACGAGTTGTGGGTAAAGAACAGGGAAACAGTCTTTCGCGCCTGTTCAACTGTGCCTTCATGGAAACTTCTGCCAAAGCAAAAATAAATGTTTATGAGGCAAGTATTATCATTCTTAGAAGAACACTTATTATGATTAGTATAGCTATTAATACACGAGCATGAGGTAAGTTACAATACGAGCCGAAGGCGAGTGTAGTAAACCGTGTGTGAGTGTATTAATAGTCATTACATGATCATTGCATACACTATTTTTCCTATCATCAATAAATAATAGAATTTAAACAAATAGTCAGTCCAAACTATTTGAATACCAACATATTCCAACATCTCCAGTCCATGAATTGCCTGTACTTTTGACACGTTGTGAATGAATGTCAATTAAAATGTAATGTTCAATTTCATTTCAAGCAAGCAGAAACATAACCCACTTGTTGAATAACATGTTTTCATATAGAAAATAGTAGAAGAATATAGATTTGGTTTTAAATGTTTATTTTATCGTCAGAGAGCTGATATTCAAGAATTGATCTTGAAAGTTGAACTTTATTCAGAATTTTCAATTTGATTTGTGTTACCAATATCAATTTTCGACCAACTTTTTCTAATTCCAAAAAATGCTGCTCATAAAATACTAGTTTTTTTCCTGAAAGTGATTAAAACTCAGAGATTTATTATTATGATTATAATATATTTTCTATCAATATAATGAGTGATTTGTGTTTTTTCCAGATATTTTATGACCTAGTTCGACAAATCAATAAGAAATCTCCTGAAAAGAAACAGAAGCAGAAAAAGAAATCGATTTGTGCGCTTCTGTAATTAAAGTAATAATTGTTGGAACCAAAAAGTACATTCAAAGATTTAAAGACTATACATAGTGTGAAGGAGGCAAGTGCGGACTGAAAGTCTCTTGCAGTGAAGTTTTTTAAAGCTCTGTATATCATTCTTTTAAGGTAATTTTAAAAATATTTGTAATAAATAAAGTTGTCAGTTAATTTTTCCACAGTCAAGGTTGTTATATATATGTAGATGCAATTTAGTGATAGAGTATTTTGAAATACTGCCAATTATGTGGTGTCAAATAGAGATAGAGATTTTGTGAATTAGTGGTATTTGCTACTTCTGATTCAAGACTATCTACAGGACAATACTTCACCAAACATAAACCATGATTTCTAAGATTCACGCCTCTAACAAGAAGGATGTCGCTTCAGAAATCTAAATGACCTACATCACCAATGTTGAATCCCGGTTTGTCTGCGAATATTAAACTCTTTTCTATTATCATATTATATGGATGTAGTTGTGGGTGAGATGTGATAATAATCCTATGGTGCTTTTCTAGTAGATAGTGATTTCCTTGGCGAGAGTTAGTAATTCCAGTCTCAAAAAGGTGCACTTTTTCAAATCACCAACAAGTTTACTTTCGGATTTTTGACTATTCACACACCATCAAATATGTCTTCTTATGACCAAACATATTTCCAAATCTATTGTAATGTCAGGATTAGCGTTAAGAATATTAAACGTATCTTTACATAAATTAATAAGTGTGCGATGTATCTTTGAATTTTAAATATAATTGTTGCACTTTATAAATATTTCCTATATTTATCTTTTAGCAGTATTTATTTTAATAAATAGTAAAATAAATGAAAATTCAATTATTTATTCCTTGATGTATGAAGAAACTGTTATTTTATGCAGTGTGTCGCAGATTCGCTTCTCTATACAGGGATCTTCGCTACTATTATACCTACGTACATCAAAAGTTGGATGCGGAAAGTCTTGGAGGGAACTTATTGCATTTGTTAACCAACTTCAGATTTATGATCGGTTAACTGGTTTCGGAAATATAGAATAAACACCGAAAATGGCGGATTTTGTTTTTTGCCAGTAAATACGAAACGGGTGATTCGACAGCAGTCAAAATGTCATTTTTTCAAGACGAATAAGGTAGAACCACCTCAACTCAATTTTTTTATGTCTACCATATTGAAATTATCAATTTTTGGAAAGAGCGTGAAATTTCCAGTCTAGTGATGTCAGCACATGAAAGATTTGAGTATCATTGCAATATCACACTTCGTAAATTTAGATCAAAATTTTTCCTAAGGAGGCCATGAAAATATTGGGTTTTTATAAATAACATATTTTTCCATCTAAGGGGGCTCTGACTTTTGAGATTTAGCGAAACCAGGTTGTGCCGAATTTACGGGCTACTATAACCGAAACTGAGTTTAGAAGAACCTGGTTTCAACATGATGGATGTCTGGCTCACAACATCATTCAAGTCAGGAAAGTCCTACTAGGCAGTTTCATAAAATGAATAAAAAAGTCTCCAATTGCCAAAAATGTTTCGATTCAAATGGACGTCATTTTGCGAATCTGTAAATTGATATCAAGTTACAAATCAGTTAAGGAAATAATTAGATTTCATATTACTTTACTTCAACTCCTAGAATGTTTCTATCGTGAGTTTCAACTTGTATCTACTTTTAGGTTGGTCAAAGATTCAAGTGTTAATTAAAATAACGACGATTTTTCTTTTTTTTTTAAACGCTTCTGGCTTGATGTTCTATCAAAAATGCAATGAGTTTATGCAATTCTCTACGTGTTTCCTACTTATTGATGTTAATTCTTGTTGAATAAAGCATAGCCTCCTCAGACAACATTGAAACCTAACTTCAAGAAGTGTCATATTTTAAACCCACCACGAAACCAGTTGACCGATCGTAAATCTGACGCTGGGTATCTATGCTGTAGGTATACTAGTAGCCGCGAGATACCTGTATAGACAAGCGAATCTGGGACACACTGTATACCTCATACATGAGAATGGATTTATCTATATTTAGGACACCCTACACAAAAATTGGCATCCTAGTTAAAATGATCTCAATATAAATATTCAGCTTGAATTAGGGGTCATTCAACAAAAATTCAACCCCCATAAATTAGAAAACCATTTTTTTTTAATTTGCTGGGATCCGTCAGGTCATGTTCTTGGGAAGAGGGTCATTTTTGACAGTTTAACCAATTTGATATGTTCACCCAACTTCAAATGGAACCACCCTATCTCCATCATATGATTTTAAAGCCCTTACGGATATACTGGTGCATCGATTTTAGGGATCGGTAGAGATTTGACAGAGTTATTGGTTTTGTCGGAGAATCTTATATAATATGATGTTTCAAATAAAGGGGCACTCCAAAATGAGTTGGGTATTTGTAACAGCAGCCGTATCCATGATACAGGATGTTGAAAAATGAATTTTATAAAAAATTTTCACGATTATGTCGAAACTACTGACATTGTAATGAAATTTGGTATGAATATGTTTTGGAAGATGACATATCGCATGAATTTGTTTTTGTACTGACTCATAGAAGTCGCAAGTTAGACGGTTCGTACCACCGACAGTTCCTGCGCATTGAGCAGAGACGGCTTGAGTCGAGCGAGGAGAAGGAGATTTTAGAGTTGCTGGGGAATGACTATAGCGGCCCAGATAGTGGTTAGGTATGTCAGTGGTTCATACCAAGTAGTTTTAAACATAACTTTTTTGAGGGTAGATTTTCTAGTCGAAATTTTATGAGAACTTGAACATTATTCAATTTCATACTGTGTACAGGTTCGGAAGTAATTGATGCTGGTATTGAGAAAGTATTATAAAAAAAAAACCTATTACCTATTGTTTAGAAAGATCAATATTGTATTATAATACTGAAGTTATGGACGAATGCGCATTCGCTCGTGAAAACATCCTTGAGAGCCTAAATCACTACACAAATCATCGTAGTGGGCTGACGCCATGCTATTAGTGGACCAGAATAAAACTCCCCCACCAAACTCAGCCTCCACAATCTTGTTACGAAAAATAATAATAGAAACACACGAATCTCGACATACGTGATGGAAATGGTTCGAAAGATTTAGGCACTTCTAAGTTATTGAATAAACATTGAATCACATAAAGAAAATTAGAATAAATTTGACCAAAAATATGAAATATTCCATCTAGAGTAGTGAGTGTTTGAAATGTCCTCTTTCAAATAGTTCCTCACAAACCTCAAAACGGTTTTTCCTGAGTTAGCCATTGGAAAATTGACATTTACTTATAGTTACGGTAAAATATTGTTGATAACTACGTTAATCAATAATCAACACGCATTTGAGTTTTTGAAACAACTCGGTACAAACCGAGTAACTAGCGTTCCCTATGAGATAAAAACAATTTAGTAGTTTGGTATTTTGTTTTCAACACCCTGTATCTTCAATACGGATGCCAATACGAATATTTTTTTGTTAACAAACCAAGATGTCTTAATTACAGGATGTGAAAGCATACTTACAGTGTTATATACTGTTTTCGATTTAACGGTGGTCATTTTGAGCATTATAAAAAAATAATTGTTTGCTTCTCCCCCAAGAACAAAAATCGACGGTTCTCGGTGAAATTCTCAAAGAATGTTTATCAGTATGAAGGCGTTAATTTTTATTCAGATAAAAATCCACTGGATGTCATTTTATGAAATTCCGAATGGTTTATTGTCAACAATTAACAATTTCAGAAGGAGGAAGTTTGCAGCTTGATCATTATAGGAAGGCTAACGTAAGGAAAGTGATATATTAACATCATTCATGTATGTACAGGGTGATTTGTTATATTGCTGAAATAGAACAATATAACGAAGAGAATCATCTGCCGTAAAAGTATACTATGCTATCCGAATTGATTAGTGAATGTCAATGCAACAATAATAGAAACGAATAATGCCACTTTGTCTAGAGAATTTATACGTTTATTATGATGGAAACAATTACTGTAGTGGCATCTGAGATGGGCATTTTTCTAATTATTCAAATGTTGCACGCTCATTCTTATTCACCTTACTTGACCACCAAACCAACTTCAACACAACACTTCATAACTCCGATACAATGATTCATGTGAATATTGGTGGTGGACGACATTTCCATTAACGTCCCTATCCAAAACATATTTTGTTTTGATTGATTCTTGTCTATAGTATTGTTGGCAATAAACTAAGTGGATATGATTTCAGATTTCTTATATTTAATTTGCATTTTCGCTGAGGTCTGAAAGCAGAACCTGGTGAGATTCATGACTAGATGGTGTGTTTCGAAGAAATTGTGAGTGAATAATTTCAAATTAACTTATAGCAAAATTCATTGGATGAACTGGTGCATACTGAATGATATCCACTGTATATGTGTAATTTGTTTAATAATTCAAAAAATACTTTGTACTATTAATTACTATTTGTTTGACCGTAGTATATAATCATTTACCTGCATACATCCTACATAGTGAAAAAAATTGCGTTAGTTATGTATTGACCGTCTTGATATATTGCAGACAAACTAGTATAAAACTCATGTAAAATAGTTATATAATATCAAAAATCACTTCAAAATCCATTGTGCACCAGTTATACCAATTGGAAAAATGCCTATCATATGTACTAGTTCAGAATTATATGTCACAACTTTCAAATGTTGAATCAAGTTATAATTATTATTATTTATACAGGTAGGAATTATATAATTTCTGATATCTTCCAAAGAACTTGAAGACCATAATAATATTATAGGTACCTATTATATTATTTCATTGACCATAAACATATGACTATATAAATAAATATTAATAAAATACTTCATTGCATGACATTCTGAATGAATATTATAGTGAATGTGATACCCTATGGTATGATTTGCTGTTTTTATCCATATTTGACATTAAATTTGAACTAAAAATAAAATGTGTGACAATCCATTGATGTGTTATTGGCTTACTTGCGTTAAAATAACTAGTATCGTAGATCTAAATACACCTAGTATATATTCTTCACACGCGGGAAGAAATGGATATCATTGCTCCTTTGATAGATAAATAGGTATTTTCTTCGTGTACTCCTGACTTGAATTTTTTTACTGGGTTGTAAAACTCATCATGTATAAACTGTTATGAAGTCATTATTCGTTTTCTTATGTATTTGTATTATGGTATGAAAAAAGTGGATAACCCGTTTCATCCAGTTATACCATAATAATAACTGCAGCCAATCAAAAGGAGCATATACAATGTCCCAATGGCTCCCGTTCGTTTTGGTCCTTCACTAAGGCAGTCGGAAAGAATCTCCAAAATCGACAGCACATTAGCAACAACATCGCAAGATGAAGCAAATATTTTTGAATAAATGTTCGGCAGCAAACTCCACCAGATATTTTTCCCGATGAAAGTCGATTGCCGTAAATCGTCTGCCGCCAACGTACTAGCACGCATTCTGCTTAATCAACGGTCCTGATGGAATTCCATCCGCTATCCGTCGACTTCAACCAATTCCCAAATAAGGTATAAAAATCCTGCCCAACAACTATTGCACTTTTGCTCTGTTATGAATTGAAGTGATGAACATACGGCTTACGACGTCAGCTATGCCTTCTTCAACCGATTTTTTTTTGGCAGATGGCTTCTTTGATGATCGGAGTATTGTGTGATACGAAAGACATCAATGATTGAGGCCTTCGAGAAGACAAGAGAGTTAAATGACATGATTTCAATGTTTCGGAAATTAAGTTTAAACTTTATTGAATTTTGATGAATTGTAAGTAATGGTACCGTAGCTATTAGTGATCGAATCTCTGATGAGGAACAGAGCACTTACCCCTTTCATCATTTGAACAGGAAGTTGAAGAAGTATAGGAACAGAGGGTTATCATACAAAAACAAAGTATATTATAGAAACAATATATTTGAGAACAGGCTATATTGTTTGTTGAAATCAGATATCAAGGCATTCGCAGCAAAAGACTGAAAAATTCAGCATCTCACCATAACAATCAACATAACTACCTATCATAGAGTTACTGATGGAGGCCAATGTCGTTAAGAGCACCCTTCTCCTTCAAAATCCATCCCTACCTCTATTGGCTTCCAAGCGATTTAGATATTTTTTGCAAAGTTGAACTGTTTGCACCTATTAGAGACTGACTAATATCTCTTTTCCACAAACTTCTTCTATACTTCAACTACCTGACTCTGCACTTATCTCAAATTCTTGAGAAATGTCACTTATTACCTGCCTAGGCTTCTTGGTGCCTCAATTGCAGCGTTCCACAAAAGCATTAAGTTTGGCACCAACACCATTTGTACTCCATAGCAATGATATGTTGGTAGTAACCATTTGTCCAATCCACAGCTTCGTAGATAATAGTAGTACTCTCCACACTGCGGTCTCTTCCAGAATTCCCATTTCTTCCCAGGTCAACGCTGTCAATGAAGATCTTTAAACATTCACAGCCAGAAAGACGAACAACCTATAGTCTAATTCAACGCCACCAAAACTGAAGCCTGTATTTTTCTGGAAAATGGAACTCAGATGCCTTATATAACATGTTTATAGTTCCACCATTTCCACAAAGCCCACCATATCTATTCTTGGTATTTGTTAGATGTATGTCAAATCCATCGCGGAAGTTGCTTCACGAAAACTCGGATTTTTATTCCGTGCGGAAAGCTTCTTCACACCTCAACAGCTTCTCATTATCTACAAATCACAGATACGACTTCTTATAGAATACTACTCTCCACATATATATGAGGTTCAGCACCCAAACATACTGTCATACTAAAGTTTTGCGCTCGGAATAAAAATCAGAGTTTTTCTGAAGCGCAGCTTTCGCGATGGATTATGACATGATTTTTACAATGAAAATACCGAGCATAGATTCAGTGGACTTGGTGGGAATGGTGGTACCAGGCATTGATATATCGGGCATACTGCGAGTTCCGCCTTTCTAGGGAAAAAAGTTTACTACCAACAGACCATTGATATGGAGTAGGAACAATGTTGATGCCAAAATTGGTCCTTGTGGAATGCCGAAATAATTGATCTGTCTGAAAGAAAAGCTGATGAAAAATGGCTTAGCTGGGTTGGTAAGCTGCGTATGATGGTAGTTTGTGGAAGAGTCCTTGGTGCCATACACGGTCGAATGCTTCCAATCCAATATATCTAACGCTACAGCTAGAGATTCCGCATGTTTTTTAATTGAGCTTGCCATGACGACGTTAGGCAAGTAAATCTCCAGTTGATCTTTGATGGCGAAAGCCATATTGTCTCGTTGATGATTCCTGTATCGAGATATTTGATGAGCTCAACGTTAATGACACTTTATTTTCCAGCAAGATGGAAAATACCCGACTTGAACAACATGGAAAATAACTTGCAGAAAACCGGTGTTAATACACTTTTTGATAATAATGCGTGGAATTTCATAAGGCATTAGCCTCATTCGTTTTGAAACCAAGCAAAATGCGTTTGATAGTGCATTGACGGAAGATTTCGGGCATTCGACTTTCAACGGACACCATGTTCTTCCCTGGGAATCTAAGACGAAGTTTGCTGCGAACATCTCTGCTAACATGTTTGCTTCCTATTGCGACGTTGTTGCTAATATACTGCCGCCTTGGGAGAGTTGTGGGAATGAACTAGTAGTGAAATTTCTTCCCCTTCCCACTGGTTTAGCGAGGGACCAAAACGAACGGGAGCCATTTTTGCCAATCTGAGTTTCTATATTATTTTTCTGGCTTCAACATATTCTGCTCTTGACACGAGGTTATAGGTTTTTTGCGTCAGCGATGGTGGGCTGTTTGTTTGAAGGCAACAGCTCTGGAACAGTACTTGTTGGACGAGGGTTTCGAAGGTGACGATATTTCGAAGAATGGGGTAGGTATAGGTATGTACGTCAATTCGAAGCGTGATGATCTCGGATATTTCCGCAAAACACTGTATGAAGGATCCTAAAAATCAGAATGAGTCTCGTCGAAAAACGTGCGAGACCGTCTCAGTTTCCTGAAATTATAATGCCATACAAGATGTGGGCGGGGTGCTGGAGCAGATGGTGAATGAAAAATGGACAGGTTGTGGAGATGACTGTGTGGTGGGAAATGCCAAGCGGAGCTCGTCCATCTAAGGAGGGTGCTGAATTATTGGTAAGGAAAATGATGGAACTAGGGAATTCGCATGGGTTCCTTGATGGTTCCTTTTCGGCTTTCTGCCCAGCTTCATACGATTTGTTGGAGTGTACGAGTCAAGAACTGTTGTGTATATTGAAATTGCCCATGATGATGATTTCTGCTGCTGGATTGTGCTGTTGAATTAGGTCGAGCTCAAGAGAGAACTATAAGAGCTCTTCATAGGAAGGATCATTTGTTGATGAGTAGAGACAACAGAGATTTTCCATCTGTTTCTGGTTATGTTAGAACCAAATTTATTTGGTTCCAAAGTTTTTTCATGGCATGAAATATTTGTTTTACAATAGAGGCAGAGCCTCAGCAGACATCAACTATCTGGCCGCTTCTATCCCAGTACATGATATATCGGCAGAATGCAGGCCATGGCCAAGCTGCACCGGTCAAACATCGGCCCATTGTCTGATGGCATATTGTAATCGTTTGGCTAAAATTTACCTGCCACTGGGCCAATATAGTGTCAATTCGTATTATATATCGGAGACAGGAACCGTTGGCACGATAATTCACTACGTACTGTTTTACCACTAACCATACCGCTTTTCAACGCCTCGACACGTGATCCGCTAACTGTGTTAGTATCTTCAGTAGGTCATAACTAAAATGTTCTATCGTAGTTTGCTACTTATATAGTAGGTATATATATGTCCACCCGACCGTGAAAGACACTAACCGCCAAGTTATAATGTTAGTCAAGGTTGAGTTCACATGCTAGTATATATAACTAAACTATACAGAGGGCTAAATGGGATAGGTCCATTATCGTTATTCACTACTCTATTATTATTCTTGAATATCTCTAAGCTTTCATTATTAACCTGCTTAACTAATTTGAGGTTATTAATATTGTGTTATGACCATGTTTCAAATGTGCTAACTGTTCTTCGAACCTTGTTTTTATGGGTCGCCTGGTTTGGCCTTTATATGTTTTATTACAATCATTACAAATAATTTCGTATATTCCTGACTTTTCCAGTGTGTCCACCTCATCTTTTGGATTACTTATAAACTTGAAGCATACGAAAATTATAAAAAACTAACATATAGACTTGAGTAACATTGAGTTTGAGTTGAAGAGAAAAATATGTTTGCCGTAATTGAAGCAAAATACATACAGAAATTTTCCTCTGAACAAAAAACTTGAAATTAATAATGCGAAAACAATATATCAAGAGCCCATCACCATTCCTCTCATTACTTAAGTAATGAAGAACTCGATCTTTTGAATAATGGCCTAAATTTTGTTCCTTCTGCTTCAAAGGACAGTCTCGAAGGATGTAATAGTTTTGAGTGTTGAATCCGCGATTCAATATGGTATGCTTCTACCAAGAATATTTACCCAGTGAAAAAAACAATGTTAATTAAAAATAAGAAGGCTATATGGACAGTAATTACTTCAAAGATCTCGAAAAAATTAATTTTTGTATGCTATTTTCACGTTTCGTTTTCACAGCGTCATGATTGTGAAATTTAATTGTAAACAAATCATAGATGATTAAGAGATGTATAGAAATTTAACTGGTGGGCTCACTCTTCAATTGTTTCGTCAGACTAACTCTCGATATGGAACAATTGCATGCGAGTTTTGGACGTGGGGTTCAGGTATTTGCGATAGAGGCGCCATAATCGGAAAATCGTTCAAAACCTTGGTTCTGTGAGGGATGAATCTATTATTTCCATCATTGTTCTGTGGTCGAATAAATACTGTGCTCAACATTTTCATTCAAATTTCAATTCAAAATAGAAGCAAGACATCTTTTTTGTAGCCGATTTTAATAAGCTTCACTTCTTTCATGACATGAACCTATTTAAAGCATGAAATCTGATGAATTTCCTCTTTGAAGAACCAGAACAAAGAATGAATCAGTTCACGCTAATATTTCAAATCACTGAAATAATACTGTTGTAGAACAGAGATTATTTTTTCTATGGTGGATTAGGTATTATACACAAAATTTAGAAACTACAGAACACCTCCCTAAGGAACACTTGACCCCAATCTCAGAAATAACCATTTTTTCATCTAAAGAAAATTTTTGGCATATTGACGTTTCAATCCTTTGATCAGGAATCAGTTCACTGCTCTGATCCAAATCATATACGTATCCAAATATTTATCGGTCGGTAATATGATTCCTGTAAATATGGATTGTAACTAGGATGAGTTTAGCGAGATTTACTCACGTCAAGTATGTTTATCAAAGGTTTATCAGAGTAGGCGCCATCGAGAAACTTGCAAACGACCTTCAATAGGGAGCAAGCGCACCAGTTAAATTTCTATACATCTCTGATGATTATACAATGAAACAAATGATCTACATACACGATCTACACTTTTCTGTTTCTCTAAAATCCCAACCCTCATCTACTTCTAGATCTACACCTCTAATCTACACTATCAAATCAGCTGGTGTTCATTGGCGGTGTAAATTACACTACACTGAAAGCAAAGGAACTATTCTGTGATGAATCTTTGATAGTGTCATGCTGTCATGTGTCATGTTATCTTGCGATCTTGTAGGAGTTGTAGGTTATATTTACTTATTTGTTATTTTATTTATTATAATTGTTATTTTATTTTTCTTGCCAAATCCAAATTCCATTATTCCGTTTCATTTTTATCAGTTTTTTTTTCCATTTGTTATTACCGAGTCTGAGTCTCTACCTACCAATTTGTACAGTATTCAGATGACAAATGCAATATTTAATAAGCACAGTGGACAAAAGCAAAAAAAGCCAAACAGCTAATCAAAAGGCCGATCAAAATGAACATAAATAGTTGTTTGGTGTGAAATGGTTTTGTTTTCCCTTTTCTATTGTTCAGTTTTGATTGAAAAATAGTAGAAGCAATGTATGATGCTAGAGTGAGTCTCTTTCATTTCATCATTCATTTTGATTTCAAATATCCGATTTTTTAGGAAGGTTAGGAGTCATGAAGTACAATGATAAAGAACTGGCCAAGTTTGGGGAGAATACTGCAGATTTGGAGGGTGTTCTACACCACATGAAACCACAAGGAAATGATTGGTCGGATTGGTATCAGAGACCTTCATTTAAAGAAAGGTACTTCAAACTTATCTCAAATATATTGTTCTACTACCGAATAGGAGAGAATGAGCCCATTGGAATTTTGATACTAGAAAATGCTCAGATAGCATATGAACGACCACACAAAGGAATTCCCTTTGCTTTTTCTATAACTTTCAAAGTCAATGATAGGTTGAAAGATGATGAAGCAAAACATGTATTTTCTTGCCGGTGTGATAAAGATGTCAGTAAATGGGTCACAGCTTTAAAAAAGGCTTCCTATGAGTATTGGAGATCTCAATATGTTATCTTGAAAACAAAAATCAGTATGAGGACAGGAGTTGATCCCATTTTAGAGTACATGAGGAGCAAACATTCTACCAGTGTGAAAAGAACTGAAGTCAAAAAAAACAAAGTTAAAGAGACCAACTCTACTTTTTATAGCCATATTGAGTCAACTTCTTACAGTGAAACTTACTCTTCAAGGAAAACCAATACTCACAATGAAGCTGAAGTCACTGTTGAGAATCTCATCAATCTATAGAAGTACAAGAAAATTGGGTGGTGCAGAGCAATTGATGTCCATAGAATATACAGGATGTTTGATAAGGGTCAACTATAATTATAATTCTCATGATATATACTGCCCAAGATAAGGAGGGCCAGTATGGGCATCTCAGAAACTATGACAGATACAGATTTGGTTAAATGGGAGAAAAGTTGCACTATTGAAGGAAAAACAAAATGACATAAAAAAATTTCTGATATGACTTTTTGTTTTTGAATTATTTCCAAAAAACTAAATCTTTGGATTTTCAATTCTTTTTTTTTTTTAGGCATTAATGATGAAGTTATGACAAAACTGAAAATATATGGCAACTTTGATTTTTTTATTCAACATTTTGTTTTCAAGCAGCCACAATCAACTTAATTTTTTTTTGGGCCCTGATATTTCAATATCAGATTCTAATAGCCCTCCTTTCTATTCTGATTTTTAAGATATGCTACATATTGTGATTTTGATATGTTTTGAGCTTATTTTGGCCATCAAGTAATTCTTGGAATATGGCCCTGCATTTTTCATATTTCCTTGAAAAAAGGTTTATTTATGAAATTGAATTGAAATTTTTCAAGTAATTTTGTTTGTCTTTCACTCACTCAACTTTTCTCCCTTTTAACCAAATCTGTATCTCCCAGAGATGCCCATACTGGTCCTCCTTATCTTGGGCACAGTGTATGGTATATTTACTAAAATTACTAAGTTCTGTTTCTTGTATTACATGCATTCAAACATACACCATGTGCTGCTTAGATTGTAGTCAATGTAATACAGTATATGGACTGTGTGATCAAATGATACAGGCTAAGTCATGTATATTTTTCCCCACTTCTTTTTGTAACAGGTAGTACCTGGAACAGTTTTTAGGTAGTCTCAATTCAACTTGAGAACATCTTTGTCATGACAAAATTTGGGTGATGTAATTTTTTTGTGTGATTCTCGTCCTTGAATATGTGCCTAATTTAGTTTTTGGTGTCAGGTTTTGTGTCTTCAAGAGCCTGAAGCAGATATATAGTGTCAGATTTTTTGTGTTCATTCTGTCAAGATCTCTAGGGTATTTGAAATATTTACAAATTATGTGTCTTATTCATTGAATTATTGGTTTCGAAATATTTATTTTTCTTGTGGATTAGGAGACAAGCTAGTCAACCTTTACTGGTAGAAAAATATATTCTGAATAAAAATTCCAGTATAATACTTTTCCTGCCCTGCTTTGTTTCTTGTTGTTATTATAATACCCTCAGTTTCTTTCCATTTTACAGAATTCTTTATAATTTATTACAATTTTCACACATACCTGGTAATTATAGCATAATTCTGTTATAAATAATGAAAACAAGATACATACCACTGCCATAATTCACTCATTTAATAATTTCACCCAACATAATATTCATTGAATACATAGTGAACACACTCAAAATGTTTGATATAAAAGCAATGATGAGTAGGTCTAGGTATTTATGAAGCATCCAATGAATATCTAATCTAATGTCAATCATGTTTCTATTGCTGATTTGGAAAGAAAATACTATCAATCATTAAAGTTTATTGGAAAAGGTTTATTTGTTAACAAAGTATTTTTCTGAAAAACAAAAAATCAAAATTATAGGGAAGAATTGGAAGTAGTTATTACCGTTTTCTTCAGGATAAACCAAGTCTAAATATTTCTTAGTTGAGGAGGTATTATTTCTTTGCAAAAAACTTACCTCAAAGGGAGTGGTGCAGAATATTATAGAAATTGATTGACGACTTTTTGCTCATTCTGATAGGTTTATGAGAATCATCAGTAGATAGTGTCGAAAAGTAATATTCTCAGATAAATTATGAACATACAAAAATGGATATATATTTATATGAAGCAATACATTGAGAATTCGCATTCAGTAGATAGGCATTTTCATGTTTTTTATGCTGTCACAATCTGGCAACACTAAACCATTCACTTAAGTTCTTATGAAATTTCAAATTTCTTTCGGAAATCAGTATTCTCACGTCAGTGGTTCTCACTGAATCTGAGATCAATTTATCATGTGAATCTTTTAGGGATTGATTGGTTATCAGGAAATATTTGCAATTTTATCACATGTAATTTATTAAAATATTTTACTTAAAATAATTCTCAGTTTCCACACAAGTAATTATTGTATAAATATAAAAAATAGGATGATATCATTGATTATGAACATACCTATGAAACGAGTTCTACGAATAACATTAAAAAACGAAGATTTTATAGTCAAAATAAACATAATTGAATCATTGCAAAGTACATATTAAAAAATATATATTCCAAGGAAACAAACATACACATTTATTTAATATGTTTACGAAGCCAAGTGTTGACTTCCTCTTCATTTTGCGAAACCCAGTTGATATTGAGTTGTATAATTTCCAAACTCTGATCCAAAGCTCGGGAAGCTGATCCCACATTCATACCAGTAAAATAAGTTGAAACCTAAAATAATCACGTCAATTACATCTGTAACATATTTTCATTCTATACAGTGTTTGTTCCACTGGTACCAATGTCCCTTACTAATAGTCGAGTAGACTAATTTATTTTATGTCTCAAACAGAATCATCACTCAAATACCTTTTGATTTCATATTTTTTTAGAATTTTTTGGTCGATTTTTAGGTGCTAAAATCATCAATTATGCCACGGTAATTTTCGAACAGATAGAACCCATTAAGCAAATTTGTAAGCTATGTTGATGCAAGATTGTAGCAATTACTGAAACGGACGTTCAGCAATATTGCAAATGGAAATTTGTGAATGTAACGTTCCAGCAATGTCAGTATCATGTTATATTGCTGCAACGCTACATTATCCAACTTCACCTTTGCAATATTGCTGAACGTCCGTTTCAGTATTTGCTTCAACATTGCATCAACATATCTTTCAACTTCGCTTAGTGGGAAATTTACCGCGAGAAAAAACTGATGTCACGATTTCGTAAGTAGGGGCAGACCATAGCACAGTTGCCAAGTGTTGAAATACCATTGGGAACTTCAGAAATATTAGTTGTTCAAACATTCTCAATTATCTATTGGAAATATTCCTATTTAACAATACAAAATCAATTGTCTCAAAATATCCCTTTATGATTTGTGGCATATTGCTTATAATACATTTGTGTAAATAGTACTTATATTGATTCACACTAGAGGAAATTTGAGGCGGTGAACGTGACAACACCGCGCGCACGACTTGTGGGCGTGGTCTTGTCCCTTCCCAGCATTCAACACAATGTTGCCAAGTCTTCAACATCTACATGACATTTTGTTATGGAGTATTAGACGTATGTGGACATGCTGGTTGCTCGAAAGAATCAAGAATGAACTATTATATCATGGCTTCCTCATATTATGTTTCATTCAACGACAGGACTCTTACATGTTTTTGAGAACTTGATTATAATCGATGACTTGACAACCTTGCTTCGTGAGCGGAAATAGAAGATTGTCTGACCAATAACGAAACAGCATAAAAGCTGACGTCACCATTTATTTGACGTATTGCCAAATAGTGGCCATGACGGTACGTTATAAGTCAACTCGCCCATTGTAATGCTGTTATAATATTCAATGTTACTTCATTCAATACTGCCATTTCGACAAATAATCATTACTAATTTTTTTCACACCTGATTAAAATGGATAATATTTAAAATACAGTGTGACCAAGATACGGCTGCACAGCATGGGGATCTCGCAAAGGGGAGGAGATACGAATTCGGTCAAATCGGAAATAGTTGTGCATTCAGAGGGTCATACCAACGGCCTTGGAAATTTTCCAATATTGTAGCTGGAAATACTTTTCCATGGCAACTTTTCAAGAGATTCATGTGGTGTTATGGATTTTTCTACGCGACGTTTCGTATTCGTAGAACCATCATCAACTTTTTTTCCCAAATACCGTCTTGATTACGTGTTCACAGCTCGAATGTTTCAAAATTCCTAAGAGGAAATGCCATTAGTTCCACTCATTTCTGATCATTCAGTGTCAAACATTGATGGAGTGGTAAAAAAAATAATGATCTATATTGCATACTCCTAAAGTACAAGGGGCAATTGACCGAGGTCCTTCAGCCCTAACAAAAATATTTCACTAAATGATTCTATGTAGCTCTTCGAATTGTTTCATGTTATTGGATTCTTATACGAATTACCTTGATAGGTGACTAAACATATTCTACAATCCTTTGACCGGCGCGATCGCCTGATTGGACACCGCTGTATTTTTTTTCTTTGGATACGTTGAAAACTTTGTCCACACAAATAATTTCGATAACGAGGAAGAACTAGGAAACAGTGTTATCAAAGCATTCAAGAGTATTACCCCCGAAATGCTTAGAAATTTCTTAGATGCAACTATAAGAAGAGGATATCCTTTTTCAGAAAATAAAGTTTATCATTTTGAACATTTGTTATCAATGTTATTACTTTCAATTACTGTTCGTGATGTCAAAGTTTAGTTATCGTATGTAATACAACAAGTGTACTGATGATTATTGAAATACAAATCCAAAAAGGACGTTTCCGTCTTTGAAAATTTTATACTCTCATAGACTTGGACTCAATGTCAAGTTACGACAACAGTTACCTACCTGAGAGCCCAGTTTCATCACATTTTAAATACTGCGATTTTCTTTATGGACCATTTCTTAATGCTTTTTCATACATAAACAAAATACAAAAAGTCAAAAACTACTGTTTTCGTTTCATTTTCGGACTCCGCAGATATGATCACGTTAGCCAAAAATTGAAGGAACTCAACTTGTTGAACATGGAAAATCGTAGGAAGCTACATCTGGCGCCTTACGTACATAAGTTAATTTTGAAGGGTCCCGAAGATATGAAGAGTGAACTGGTACCATGGTACCATGTACATTCTATTAATATCAATATAACTTACTGCAAAATCAACATAATTTGTTTCGAAAAAGAGTAGGAATTTTCGATAATCATCAATGAAACGAGTTGTATTTGTGAATATTATTTCACTCATTATTTCATGAATAAAATGATAATTTCATGTCATATTTTCATTTGCAGTCGGTTATGCAACTAACTATATGTGCCGGTACATCGATCGCTATCTAGTTAACATATATCTACTACTCATATATGAATCATAGCTGTCCTCAAAGCGGGACCAACTTCTGTCTCTATAGGCAGAGATCAGTCACCCATTTGTGTGTTGAACACGTTTTTTGCTCCATCAATTCTAAATTGATTTTTGATAATTAAGTGCGCTCTCTCAAGGGTACGGGACCCTTCTCCTGTAGTACACCAAAATTGTTATTAATAGCACCTTGTGTGCTCGTCAAGTTTCCCTTCTGGGACTTGACTTTTGATTTTATATTACAAGTGTGCGTTCTCAGGGCACGCAGCCCTTCATTTCAAATGAAAATCCGTTTATTCCAAATTATTTATTATTCTTAGCAATGATATTATGATGGGAGACATCGGCAACTTTGTTAAATAATGTTCACCTTCATTAATTTCTAAAATACGGCTGAAGATGGACTTTTATAAGTTCGAAACATGTCCCGTTGAATAACTACATCAATATTAAAGTTTTGGAGATGACTTTGAGCTTTCCTCTCCCTCCTTTAAAAATTCCACTCCACTTTGAGCAAACATGGACTTCTACCAGAGATTACTTAAAATTGCCAAAGGCTAATATTATAATAATTTCTAAAATAATGGAAATATTCATTTCAAATTCAAACCTCAAAAAATATGTTTTCTACACGTTAATTCACTTTCAGAAATAGGCCCTGATGATGGCATTGTTGCGGAAAAAGTTCATGATTTGATTTCTAGGATTATAACGTTTGTGTACTAACGCCTTTGGAAGTTTGTCATTTGTCATGTATATTAAATATTACACAGTACATACAACATGTTTCTGGATCAAGTTACTAATACGGTCAAATACGGTGCTTTAATAATTATTGTCGACGCCTTATTGAATACTGCTTTGTAAATTAGTTTTGCATTCACTTGACATTCTTCAAGTTCTAATCATGTAGTCCTGTCATTATTACCGTGATCGCCTTCAGCTCGTACTGCAATTTTCATCTTCATAAGTAATAGATATTTATACACGAGTAGAATACTATACTTCACCTACAACTACGAAGCAACTTCGTGAGTTCAAATAAAACCTATGAAATACAGATAGTTTTCATTGCAACATTGCTAAACCCATTTAAATATCTTGGTGTCGAATAATATCTTATGGTAATGGGTTTCATCGTGAAAAATGATTAACAATATTGGATCTGATACGAGATCTGATATTAATAGGAAAAAAATTCGCGTGAACGCATCAGTCAGTCATAATAATATGAGGTATTATCTCATTTTATGAAATTGAGGTACAGAAATATCTACCTCAAAACTAATATTTGCAGAATATTAATGATTTACGGATGCCACTATGCAATTAACAATGCATGTTTGATGTTCTGATTGGTCTGTAATCTAGTCAAATAGCCCATGCGTATGTGGAAAAAACAAATTATCACCTCTTGCAAACTGCCAATTCCTTTTTCACGACCACCCACGATTGAGAAAAAAAATACATATGTTCTGTGTACTTGTATGAACGCGGTTGAAAAGATGAAAGATAACAAGGTGAGTCGATCGAATTTGCTTAAATTTCACAAGCTTTGCTGTGCTTTTGTAGAACAAATGCCTACCTACCTATTTGAATTTGACAAGACGATGTGATATTCCAATATTACTCTATCATACTATCATCTTTACTGAATTCACTAGAGCAATTGACTGTCATTAACTGTTTTAACTCCATAGTTACCATAGTTGTAGACGTCTCACGTGATGATTGTTGTTGAGTTCAAGCATTCAAAAATATATCCACTATATCTGATTCATGTATCCATGAGACAATGTCAGACTGAAATGATCAACACAATAACCTCGAATAGATTGAATCAGTGGGTAGGATAAGGGTAGATAGGTCCAACAGGCTTGAGTGTTATTGGATACTTATTTGGTCTGACGTGGGATTTGAGTTTGGCGCGAGTCAGGGCCATGAACGAACCATATGGCATCGAATCAGTGGGTAGGATAAGGGTAGATAGGTCCAACAGGCTTTAGTGTTATTGGATGCTTTGGTCAGACGTGGAATTTGAGTTTGGCGCGAGTCAGGGCCATAAACGAACCATATGGCATCGAATCAGTGGGTAGGATGAGGGTAGATAGGTCCAACAGGCTTGAGTGTTATTGGATAGTTTGGTCTGACGTGGGATTCGAGTTTGGCGCGAGTCAGGGCCATAAACGAACCATATGGCATCGAATCAGTGGGTAGGATAAGGGTGGATAGGTTCAACAGGCTTGAGTGTTATTGGATGCTTTGGTCAGACGTGGAATTTGAGTTTGGCGCGAGTCAGGGCCATAAACGAACCATATGGCATCGAATCAGTGGGTAGGATGAGGGTAGATAGGTCCAACAAGCTTGAGTCTTATTGGATACTTTGGTCTGACGTGGGATTTGAGTTTGGCGCGAGTCAGGGCCATGAACGAACCATATGGCATCGAATCAGTGGGTAGGATAAGGGTGGATAGGTTCAACAGGCTTGAGTGTTATTGGATGCTTTGGTCAGACGTGGAATTTGAGTTTGGCGCGAGTCAGGGCCATAAACGAACCATATGGCATCGAATCAGTGGGTAGGATAAGGGTAGATAGGTCCAACAGGCTTGAGTGTTATTGGATAGTTTGATCTGACGTGGGATTTGAGTTTGGCGCGAGTCAGGGCCATGAACGAGCCATATGGCATCGAATCAGTGGGTAGGATAAGGGTAGATAGGTCCAACAGGCTTGAGTGTTATTGGATAGTTTGGTCTGACGTGGGATCTATGATGATAACCTCGCGAAAAAGTGAGCATCTTTTATCTTTTATGTTCTTACCTCATAAAAATCATATCTTGTTGATAAATGCGCTGTTACTGCAGATATAAGGTTGCCCATCAAAATTGTACTGTTTCCATAAAGTGAATGCATTGTGGGCCAATAGGCTTTCAGATGTCTCCAGGCTAGAAGCCTTCCTTCTGGGTTTGCTGCCACTACTTCTAATACCAATTTCACATCTTCAGGTTTCACTACGTTTCTGTCTAAGGTTTCCATCAAATATCTGAAGAATATAGAATAACACCTTTTCAAGCTACATACACACTTTTATCACTAAATACACTCAAAACGGAGTAAACATTTTTTTCAACTAATTGATACGAACAATAAAATTGGGGATAATCGTATTGAGCTAAAAAGATTCATTACAAAAATATTCCCCCAGGGCGATATTCATTTGTCACTTCCATAAGGCAGGCACATGAAACAGTTTCGTCATCTCTTCACATACATGGGAAATAAACAATACATGAAACAATATATTGAGTGTTCCAAATTTGCTATGCTTCAGCTGAATCCAAACCAAAATTTAAATAAATGACAAGTTTTATTTTTTCTGTCCGCCCAGAAATCGTTGAATCTGTGAAAATTATATATTTTGGGAATTGGAAAAAATAATTCACAATATGCATAGAATGTTCCATGAAAAAATCATATTTTCCATACCCCTTTCAATATTCCGTTTGGAAATTAGTTTGTAAGATATCAAGTGTGGAAATCATCAAATATATTGGCTATGCAAAATAATTCTGAAGAACATAATCCATGTTCTAAAATTATTTAATATTTAATGTTATAATTCCCGTGAAAACTAATTCTATAAGTATGAGAGACAGAAGAATAAACAGTGAAAGATTCAATATTTCTTTGACTCATACAAACAATAGAAATAATAAATCCACCAATTGAAAACAAATTCAAATTATATAATATAATATTATAAAAAAAAGTTCTACCTTTGTAATAGCCAAGGATCAGAGGCAACACCCAAAGCTTTCAAAAGTATCCGTTTCTCACTTTTAGAAGTCGTACTTTTGTAATAATTCCAACAATACTGCCATTCGTTCATCCCTCCATATTTTATACCAGCAGAATACACGATTTCTTTCAAATTAGGATCTATCGTGTTATTTTGTACCATCCATTTTTGGAAATGCACTCTTGCACTTGATATTGTTTCATTTAGTTCGCATAGAATAGCGGCTGACAATACTCTTTCTCTTAGTAGCCTTAAAAAAGGTAAAAAATATTGACAATCAATATCGACAATATCCACACACAAAAATACACCCAAAATACCACAATAATATTTGGAAAAGCTTAAATTCGTCTTCCGGCTACTAAGTTATGATCCTCAGCTGAAGTGGAGAGTTAATTAAAGATCATCTGACTACAGTATTTCTCTGGATATTCTGGAGAAATTACCGCGAAAGTCATAATGAGAATTGGTTATATATATCCTATTTATACGCTTCAGAGGCGGTTTTGCTAAAATGAACATCGTGTTATAGTGAATCAAAAAGTAATTCAAGAAGGAAAAGGTCCTCAATCTTGATTCATCAAATTATCTCTTTTGCATTTGATGTTGAAACTTTTCCTATTGTTTGTTACATGTTCAAGAAGTCTCTACTTATCTGTGTGATAGAGTGACTATAGTCTCAAGAACATGTTGTGCAACACTTGATTCATCAAACCGATTATATCTGAAGAGAGCAATATATTCTTTCAATCTTGTGCCGATGCTTCGACTTTTTTGCCCAATATATTTCAGCAATTACAATTTATTTTATATACAGGGTATTTCCTAATAACACACTTATTGGAGAGGTGATAGGGCGTCTCCAGAGAATGAAAAAAGTTCCCATAAACGAAGGTCGTAAACGGCTTCGTTTGCGAGATACATGGCGTTAAATGCAATTATTTATAGAATTTTAATATGCCCACCCTGTATGGCTTCTCGTTGTGGCAAAATTTAGTCTGTTAGGTGACTGCCATAGTGCCGCAATTCCAAAATGTCATATTATATGGTTATCTAGTAATCTGAACAGATGTCTTGAATGGACTATTCGATGCTACGTCAAATTTTGGAGTTGAAGTTGGTTATTCCGTTTTTCTCGAAAACAGTGTACCTGCCTCAACTAATTTCAACAGTTTGTGCTTTTTTTTTACAACATTGCATCTTCATATTTTCGAATAAAATGTAAAAAAGTTTCATCTCCACTCCATGTTTTTTCTAAAATCACACATCAATACCCCTCAACGGTGCCACTGGGAGTCAGATCGACTGAATAATACCGATTCAATCACTCTCAGGTACCTAGTGATTCACCAGAATATCTAGAATTTTTGTTGAGCGGTTATGCATTTCAATTAAAATTATGTTTCATTCTGTACTTTAACACCCTGTATGTAGCGAACGAAGCCTTTTACGACGAACTTTTTTCATTTTTTTGAGACGCCCTATTACCTCTTGAGGTGTGTCCCACACATTATGAAACACCCTGTATACCTGACTTATAAGTATTGGTTTTATCTTCAGAGATACTCAGAAGACTATGAATATTATTTTTTGCAGTAAAAGTTACGTTCATCCTCTGCGATTCAAAAAATGTAATATTACTCTGTGGTATACCTCTATGAGGATAACGGAGAGGATTCATTTTTTTTAAATGAAGTGGTGAAGAGAAATATCAAGAAAATGTTAGTGACTTAGTGCCTAGTACTTGATTATTCATCGCGTATTTTGTGCTAGTCGACTGGCTATAATATATTGCTTCAAAACACATTGAAAATTCTATACAGGGTGATTCATTGGGAAATGCGCATACAGTAAGGGTAGATGGAGGACACCGAGGTACTGCTAAAGAACCTATATTTCATGGGTCTATCGTTCTTCATAACCCATATACAGGGTGATTCATACATTTCTCCTTTTTATTCAATCAATTCAACTTTTTCAATTATTAACTTGAGTCAAATCTAGATTTTCCGATAATGAGGCGGCACAAATTTTAAAAAAATTGAGTTTACGTCCCTGAATGTTTCTTTTTCGGCTTCAATCCATAAGATAATCAACTATTCCTCAGTTTCCTGATTTTTTGATTCCTTGAAAGAGGAGAGGACATGTCCGTATTTCGGACAAATTATTATTATCAATGACCTACTTTCAAACATTGTGTATATTCCTTATTTCAGTATATGTTTTTCCAAATGTAGCACAATGTACAAATATGGCATTTTTTTCCTACAGGGTGTTTGAAACTTGGTCATTGAAAATAATAATTTGTCCCAAATACGAACATGTTCCCTCGTTTTTCAATAAGGTTGGGATCAATAATTCACGAGGATGAAAAACAGTTGATGATTTAATGGACTGAAGCTGGAAAAGTACCATTTGGAGGCGACAATTTTTTTTGTGTCACCTCATTAACGAGGACGAGAAGATTTGACTTGAAAGTTGATTAGTGAAAAAGTTGAATGCGGAGACACATACTTATTGTTTTCTTCTCTTTCCAAATTTGTAAATGAAATTTTAAAATATTGATATGTAGGGTGTTGTTGCGACACAAAACCTACCTACTTATCAATTTTTTCGAGGCTGGACCTGGAATAAGACTTCTATTTATTATGTTAATCGACACCACTGTGGCTAGAGAACATACAAACCAAATATTACAAAAATGTATAGGGTGGTTCATAAGTTATAATTGATTGAAACAATTGGAAAAATTGCTAAAACACTCTGTATCTTGGTTATAAAGAACGATAGAACCTTGTAATATAGGTTTTTCAGGAGCACCTCGGTGTGTTCCATCTACCCTTACCGTATGCGCATTTCCCAATGAATCACCCAGTATGCCGGCAATTTTATTCCAGATCCGGATGGGTGCTTATTAACTAGCATGTCTTTAATGTCTTTAATATACCTCGAATATTTATCACTTCAACTTTTCACAAAAAAAAATCATCCGTATGTGGAATATCCTTCCGTTCGAGGTTTTTTTTTTATTCGATAATGTTCCCTTTCGTTATAATTTTTCCGCTTGATATCGTTTCCGTCCAAAAAAATGTCCGTTCGATATTTTGTTTTTCGATATTCTGTAGTTTTTAAATGAGGTACCGGGTGACCAGTTATATTCTGACCCATTTCAAATGCTTATATCTCTGAAACCATTCAAGTTATCGTTGTGCAGTTTGGACTAGTCTATTTTGATATTTTTCAAGTTTTTTTTGACAGGTTCACCTTCTCTTTTGAACATCCGGTTCTACCGGAAACAAACTAGCCATTATTCAGGTATAGGGCAACTTTTTTATTTCATTGAATCACCCTGTATATTTTTGCACATTCAGAAAGACTGGTCTTTTCTCTTTCTAACAATGTATAACAAGTTATGTTTTCTTAGAAAACTATCAGAGTTATAACTGTTTGAAACAACTACTGCATGTGGAATGGTTTAATGAGATTTTGCAATGTAACCAAAGTCGTCTCTGGAAATCCTGATCACAACACATGAAATGCCAGATTAGATGTGTCAAATAAAGATTGTCGAGCATTTGTACTTTCTTGAAAAAATGTTTACTTTGACTGAAAAAGCAAATGAACTCATCATAAATCTGCATCAGATTTATACTCAATATGCGGTAATTCAGCATTTCAGGATAACATCCTAATATGCAGTAGATGCTTCAAAGAGTTATAACTCTGATAGTTTTCTAAGAAAACATAACTTGTTATACATTGTTAGGAAGAGAAAAGACCAGTCTTTCTGAATGTGCAAAAATATACAGGGTGCTTCGATGAAATAAAAAAGTTGCCCTATACCTGAATAATGGCTAGTTTGTTTCCGGTAGAGCCGGAACTTCAAGAGAGAAGGTGAACCTGTCAAAAAAAACTTGAAAAATATCAAAATAGACTAGTCCAAACTGCACAACGATAACTTGAATGGTTTCAGAGATATAAGCATTTGAAATGGGTCAGAATATATAACTGGTCACCCGGTATGTACCTATGTACCTACGTGAATCGGTAAGTACCCATTTTAGAAACATTAGGTACTCGTACTTACTTTTGGATATGTGATTTATTTTGAGTCCATCCAACATATTTTGTAACTGGGGTCAATAACTGCCTCATGTATTTCAGGAACGATTTATAAGCTAAGGATTCTGATAATCTCCGTGCCCAGGATTTCAGGTGTTCAATAGCTGTAGCCCACGGCGCATAATCTCTTTCATCTTTCAGGTACATTGTTAGTTCTAGAGCAATACTGGCATTGAGTATACCAGCTCTGAAATGTAAAAATAAAGTCTACTATTGGGCAGTTTCGTAGCTATATAGACTGTGCCCAACCAATGAACTCAATAGGTGTTTATATTGAGTTCATTGTGCCCATCACAGCTAATAGTAATTATATACGAAGGTACTGAAGACATTTTTCGAGCCAAGCTGTATTAGATCCCGAGATTCTTCAGTATGAAGGGAAATATGGATAGGATCCGAGAAATTTTCTTCTGTACTCTGACACTTCCCGACAATAAATTCCGGACAAAGATAATTTGAGTTGATTTTACTCGCCCATAAGTGTTTGTTTGTTTTCCGATTTGATCAAATTTTTAGCAAATTATGGTAATTTGTGTCAGAATGTTGATCTGAATACAAGTTCTCAAAAAATATTGATTGCATGACCTTTATACAGGGTGTTTCATAATTGAATGTCAATATTCGAGAAGACGATTCTTGGGCCCATTCTAAGAAGAAAGTTTTATATGAAAGTATGACCTAAACGTCCTAACATTTGAGATACAGGGTGGTATACAGCTCTCAAAAATTAATATAGCCTACTACAATGAGAAGTTATAATTCCAAAATACCATATACGAATACGAAGTTCATAAACTATGAATTGTATTTCTGAAATTTGATCTATAAGAAATGAAATCTATTTCTCTGATATTGTCATATTCACGATATATTGCTATAATCATGTAGTGAAAAGCTTTTTATTTTTTTTAGCGAAAATCGTGCATCAGATTGAAAAAATTGTAGTGCTCAAATTTGCTCAGAAATGTTTGGGAATCTCAAGAATGATTTCAATTTCGAGATTAATCAGTGGCGTACCATCAATAACTGCCAAAATAGAGAATTCCATACGAACGCCACTGGTGGCAACCAAAATAAAAGTGATACACTAACTGATGCCTCTTGATACATAGTACATGTATGCCAAATTCCATTAGAATATCTAAAGTGGTATTACCTATATTAATAAAAAACTATTAATTTTTGGGAACTTCGCCACCCTGTATCTCAAAAGTTAGGACGTTTAGGTCATACGTTCATATGAAACTTTCCTCATAGAATAGGCCCAAGAATCGCCTCCCTAAATATTGACATTCAATTATGAAACACCCTGTATAGGAAGAAACAACTCTCTCGAATACTTGACCTATAGAAAAAATTGAGCGACGAAATACTGGTTCTTCATGTTTTGATATGCATTGTGAACAGAATGTTTTTTGATTCACGTCAATATCTGCTTCATAAGAGAAGATACACGTCTACCTAGCATATCCCATACGTGTTCAATTGCATTCAAATCCGGACTATGCGGTGGTTAATGCCAATCGCTGATTGGATTCAAATATAATAAATTGAACATGTATTGGTAATGCTTGGTAGACGTATTCGAAATTGACACCCAGAAACATTGCCAGATCAAAACTGCATTGACAACATGCCTCGTCGTATAGAAGAGAGATGGCAGGGGGGTTAAAGTATTTGAGGATTAAAAAGTACCTTTTGTTTCTCCCTGTATAGTGCTCAAACCATCAGTATTTTTCGATAACTTAGATTCAGGATAACATTCCGTCCGTACTTTCCATAAAAGTTGACTAAATCGTATAAACATATTAAAAAAGCGATGGGCCTGAGGGGATTGTATATTAGGATATTAGGTTTGCCAGTAATAACACATATTTGATAATATAATGGTTTTTTGACATAACATCTTCACTCTCGTCTGAAAAGATATTTGGGGTCTTTTTTTGAACTTATTTTGAGGAGCTCTTTTCAAGGATCAACTGAGGTTTTCATTTCGGAATAAAAAATGATAATCACTTTATCAGTCATACTGACTTCATCGGACTCAAACACAGAGAACTCTTCTTGAACAGCTCCTCAAAGTTTTCATCCTTGTAAAGGGGATTCATTGTGAGGAAATTTTTGAACTTCGTTTTGAAAGTTCCAACTCATTCTTAAAGGTGAAGGACTGAAGATTGATGTACTAGTCTTTTATTTCGACCTAATTTTCACTCGAGGAAAATTCTAAACCTGCAGATATCCACAAACATAATCCTATATGCACCTACCTGCTCAATGAAAAAGCGTCATCAATTAGATTTGCTCTATCTGCTGAATTAAAAATAGTATGATTGGTTTTCAGAGTATTTATGAGATATTGCCACATCTCATCATCATACATCACTCTGTAGAATCCTGTTTGATTGATGTTAGCTTTTATCCATTTCAGCTCTGGAGTAATTTCGAATCTCACTGAAAAAAAAACAATTATCAAAGATTTTTAATGCAAAATGAAATAATAGTAGAATAAATACAAAAAACTCAAAGTCATTTCCACGCAATGTTCATAAAATGAACAACAATGGTAGATTTCGGGTGAAAAACGCTGAACATTGAATTAGGTACATCCTCTCGAAATCTATGCATCGACTCGTATAAACGAATACTGATACAAGTGATTCTTTCCTGAATGCCTATTGATTTCGATTTAGCCAGGCCACGCTAGACACCTACAGACCGGTTTCGAGCTCTTTGTCTCTCATCAGTGCAGGACAATCTCCAGCCAGCAGTCCTAAGACCGCCGACTAAGCGTAGCCTAGCCAAACAAAAATCAAGTCGGCATTATATTCCCTCAGAGGCGTCCTCCATAGACAATATTCTCATGGGAATTTTGTTTTTTTGTGTGTTTCTTTCCTTCCTTTCTACTCAGATGGCGTTGTTCTCATGGAAATTTGTCTTGATATTTGTATGTGAATAATTTTGGATCTCTACAAGCGATTTAGATACTTTTTTTTGCCTTGATAATTCATTATTGAGCCATATGATAGGGCAGATTATTCGTCATTAAACATTACTGAAGATAATATACCGGGTGATTTATGCACAAGTGTTTTTCACACGAAATTCAACTACATCACTGAGTGGATCAGCATTCTTGCATTTTGAATGATTTTACGGTTGTTATTTCTTAAAATTATTCAAGTTGGCTTTGAAACAAAAACGCATCGTGTGTAATCTGTCACTCACAATAAACAACATTCTAATGAAAAGTTTTCTATTTGAGAAAAGGGTGATAATTTTATCGTCACAATGCCTAGATATAACGCTCACGAACTCATGCGAGCAATTGGTTTGCTGGAAAGTGGCATATCACACAGAATTGTGGCTGAATGAATGTATAGTCATCAAATAAGTACATTATCGAGGGCAAGGCGCAGATATTCGCAACAGAAGAAAGATACGCGGAAAACTATTCCCTAGATAGAATCCCATTTGGAGGTGGCTCTGTAACAGTGTGGGGAGAAATATACCCAGGTGACCGAACAGAATTAACAGTTTTTGTTAACAGCACGGTGAACGCCTTACATTATTTAGAGATTTTGGAGAATAACTTACCGCAGGTATAGCCAACAGACTGGGCAACAATTTCATTTATGTAGACAATGCGAGACCACATAGGGCAGCAACAGTCAACGAGTTTTTCGAAATTCATCATTTTAACAGAATGGTTTGACCTTCAAGCTCTCTGGGTTGTAATCCAATTCAACACATATACAGTGCGTCCATAAAGTAACGCATAAATTCATTATTGGCTAAATGAACAATAAAATTAGAAATTCCCGAAACAGGTCGATTTTTGATTTCAATTTACTATTGTTTCAAATCATGATCTAATATACAGGGTGAACCACATTCGTGTAATGACGTCATCACCATTTCTTTTAAATGGAACCCCCCTTTTTGTCAATTTACGGATTGCCCTTGCTGAGCTGATTCCAAAGATGAATAATTATGTTACTTCAAATTGGCACAGGGTGGGCAAAAATGTAAAAAAAAATATGAAAATTGTTTATGGAAAGTGATACGTTATTGAATGTAATAAACAAATTGAATGGAATTACGTAGTTATACAATTCCAAAAACAAACAAACAAACGAAAATTTACAATATATGTTCAAATTGTTCTCCATTGACCGTTGGACAATGACTGAACCGGGCATTACTTTCGTTTTTAACATTCTGTAGCATAGCGGGTGTTATGTTCTGTATTTCTTGTCTAATTCGGTTTTGTAGTTGAGGGATATTTCCAGGGCTGTTTAAGTAGACTAGATTTTAAATAAACCCATGAAAAGAAGTCTAATGGGCTCTGATCAGGTGATCTAGCAGGCGATTCCACTGGTCCCCTTCTTCCTATCCACCTTTGTGGAAAAGTTGTGTTTAAAAAATCGCGCACAGTTACTGCGAAATGTGATGGCGGTGCGCCATCCTGTTGAAACCAGATTCTGCGGTCTACATTAGTGCATATTTGAATATCAGGAAAAAGCTGGATCAGATCAGTAATTAATGTATTTTGTAGGAAATCTAGATATAATGCTCCTGTTAAGTTTTCATTGAAAAAATATGGACCAATAATTGTATTTCTCACAATACCAGCCCAAACGTTAGTTTTTTGTGGTCTTTGCGTATGGTACTCTTGCATCCAGTGTGGATTTTCATCAGACCAATAACGAGTGTTTTGCCGGTTAACATGACCGTTCAAATAAAACGTTGCCTCGTCCGAAAATATAACGTTATCAATGAAATTGTTATTTTGGTTCATCATATACTCGCAGAATTCAGTTCTTCGGTCAAAGTCGTCTTCAGCCAATTCATGTATGAGACGTACTTTATAAGGATGGTATTTTACCTTTTTAAAAATGTTTGATACTGAAGACTTTCCAATACCAAAATCCCTAGATAATCCTCGCACTGTACAGTGTGGATTTTCAATTATTGCCGACAAAATTATGTCTTGTTGAATATTTTCATCAATTTTTGGTCTACCTTGCTTTGCTGCATCCCTCACATGTCCTAATTCTTTGTATTTTCGCTCTATATTATGCTTGCCGTAGATTGTGAAATATGTTCACGATCTGGGTGCATTCATGGAATAATCGGCATACCTCTTGTTGAGTCCGCATCTTATCGCCAATACCAATCATCATTAATATTTCAACCCTATCACTTTCGGTTACAGGCATTTCGTAAAAAAAGTTCACGAACGTACCTTTTCTAAAGCGTTAACAATACGAAACTGTGCTTCAATGTTTTTGACAGTTTTTAGTCAAATGAAAAAAATGGTGAAAAATATTGCCAAACAAAAAGATTTTTATAGTCCACGGGCTTGGATCACTTATAAAAGCTGTTAGATACAATTATTAAGAATAATGCTGGATGTTCTTGATAGTTTATCAAAGTAGTTGCATAACAATACGTAATTTCATTTAATGTGTTCATTACGTTTGTTCTTTATTTATTTTTTGATTTTTGCTCACCCTGTACCAATTTGAAGCAACATATTATACATTTTTGGAATCAGCTCAGCAAGGGCAATTCGTAAATTGAAAAAAGGGTGGTTCCATTTAAAAAAAATGGTGATGACGTCATTACACGAAAGTGGTTCACCCCGTAAATTAGATCATGATTTAAATTTGTTCTAAAATTTGTTCTATCCGTCATTCGGTTGCCCCCTTACGAGCAACCCTCAAAAGTCTTCGAAAGTCTTGTGCGAGCAAGGAATGACGGGGGCCTTACCTTTTAACGTGTGATCCCAAACACTTTCTTGGGCCATCAGAAAAATTTCTGCAGTCGACGGGGATCGAACCCACGACCGGCAAGCGAATGCGAATTAGAATATAGACACTCTGTCCGCACGGCTACCTGGCCACCCATATTGAAACAATAGTAAATTGAAATCAAAAATCGACCTGTTTCAGAAATTTCTAATTTTATTGTTCATTTAGCCAATAATGAATTTATGCTTTACTTTATGGAGGCACTGTATATGGGATGCTTTGAAGCGACGTTTGTACGCTGGGGTATTACCTCCCAGAAATATTGACGAATTGGTTGATGCGATTCACGAAGAATGGCGTTCAATTCCTCAGAAACACATAGACAATTTTATATTTGTTTGCCCAGACGATGTCGGGAGGGTATAAGAAATCGTGGAGGACCCACCAGATACTATAATGCCCGCTAGTACCTATCTACTTATCTCATCTCTAAAGTTTTCGATATTACTTCTTTCTGTCACATGAATTGTGCTCTAGTTATGGTTAACTCTTCTCAATAAATGCGCTATTTAATCGTACCGATACATTATTTACTGCCTATTTCACTGTTTTACAAAGGTGTACAAAAATCACTATAATTTAAAAACGAATACAGCTAACAACGATTTTCGAGAAACATGTTTTTGAGCAGAATTAGCACTATCTTTTGACATGATAAACATTATTTTATAATCTTCTGTTCAACTCAGAGATGTAGTTGAATTGCATTTAAAAAACACCTGTGCATGAATCACTCGGTATATTCTCTTTAGTAATGTTTTATGACGATTATATCTTTTCGCGATAGAAAATAACCGTACGCCACCTACCGGAGCTCTTGAAAGCTGTCTAAGCAGCATGTTTACTTTGTTTTTATTGGTTCACATTGGTTTTTTGTTTGTGCTAATTAGTCACAACATCAAAACAAACCGCTCAGAAGTGTTCGAGTTGCTGCCGTCTGGTGGAGCGACGTGTTATTTTCTATCGCGAATATACCCCATCATATGGCTCGATAATAAATAATTTAGACAAAAAAAGTTCATTAAAATCGCATGTTACGATCGGAAATTATTCGGATAAAAATATTACTACATTTTTGGGTGAGTCGTTTCCAATTTCCATGAGTGTATTTCCATTAACACTGAAATACACATATAACTCACTTTTGAATAAGAAGTAATATAATTACCTACGTCAAATGAACAAGCTTTTGACTCATTAGTGGTTGATTCATTTTGACAGATGGCACTGAGGAATTAACTCGGAAATTTTCAAATGTAACGAAAGCTCGTGTCTATATACAGAGGGTGCTGTTTAAATTTACAAGTTTTAAGAACCCATCAGAAAGATGAGTTACAAATATATCACATTTTGCGTGTCCAGAAGAATTTGGTAAGTGATGAAACCCGTGGACAGGTTTTGCCTATAGAATAATCGAGGAAACCCGTGGACAGATTCTGCCTAATAATCGAGAAGCTTGTATTGGACTTACCGTCTGTCATATTCATCCAAACGTATTTGATGTCGCTGTCATTATTTGTGAAGTAAGTCAAAGGAATATACCACTTATAGTCGAAAGTGGATTTTGGATGAGTTAAGTGGGAGTTATTGATACGTTCTGCGGTAACCAAAAATCTCGACTGAGTTGCTAGAATCTCGTTCCCCTCTCGTTTCATCGTGACTAGGGGATACCCCATTTGGTTAGTCCATGTATTCAAAACCGTCTAGAATTGAAACGAGGGAAATAAAGTAAAATGTGAGGAGTATCAGTTCTCCTACCTACTTTTACGTCTAAGGTTTGGTTGACGTTCCTTGAAAATACATTCCATAGATCTTTGGTTTCAGCATTCATGTACTTATATGATAAGAGATAGTCGTTAAGGCCATTTTGTAAATTCACTTCTTGTAAAAAATTTGCCAACATGCGAAGTACTGCAGCACCCTGAAACATTCCATATTTAGAATAAGTGAATACCTTTAACTATATCAAGTAAAAAATCAATCTATCTTTACTATCGGGCTCAAATCCTCATATACTCAGATAGTCAGGCGGCCATTCAATCTTTAACATGCAATAAAATCAGATCAAAACTGGTCTGGGATTGCCTTCAAAGCCTGCTAACCCTGGCTAACCACAACAAGGTAACTCTTCAATGGGTACCAGGGCATAAGGGAATTGAAGGCAATGAAGCAGCTGACGCTCTTGCTAGGCAAGGGTCTGCGGCGTTGTTCATGGGACCGGAACCTGTGTTCGGTATCCCCAAAACCTCAATACGCGGCTGGCTGGCAAGGTGGAAGCAAGAAAGACATCAGGCATACTGGAACAATGTCCCAGGACAAAGACACAGTAAACTGATGGTTGGAACACTGTCCAAAACAGTGACTAACGACATTCTGAGCCTAAACAGAAGTCAGATCAAACAAGTGACGGGACTAGTAACCGGTCACTGCCCCTTGAGGAAACATATGCATCAAATGGGCATCTATACAGTTGGAGACACAACATTCTGGGAGCAGTAAACTCTCAAGAGGCATTTCCAAAGAATGATTTGGTGAAGAGGCTGCTAAACCTTATCAAGGTAGCGAACCTGTTCACCTAAGTCAACAGCATGATCAGGAATACAATAGGCCCAAAGGCTGCAGTGTTTTGGGCTTCGAACCCTGACTGATCATTCTGCTATTAATCAATCAATCAATCAATCAATCAAACGTATCGTGAATTAAACTGTTTACTATCGTGAACGAGAATGAGAGAGATAGATAGTAATGTTCTCTATCATTTTCTTCGAATTTCCTGTTCAATTTTCTTGAAAAAGCGAATAATATATAAGTATTCAATTTAAATCGCGCTAAGGTCAGACTGTCCGAACTTGGCCGCAATGAGGACATTTTAAACATTTTTAATGAATTGCTGTTGCAAGTTGATGAACATCGATTTCTTCGTGATCAAACTTTACAGGATGAGTCATAACTATTGGGACATGCTGAGGACGGATTGTTTGGACGAAAATATAGCGATGGGACACCTCCGAACAACGAACCCCCAAATATTGCTGTGGAAAAAGATACAGCGCTTTAAAGTTTAATTTTTGTTTTCGTTTTTTGCTAATAATTTCACTGTATATTTATCAATTGATATCAAAATCGGCACTATATAAGGCATAATTTCATACAGGGAATATTATTTCATGCATAATTCTTCAGTTTATTGTTACAGGAAGCGCCACCTGCATGATTTCTGATGAAGAATTCGACTGGTGACTTTTTTTGACGAAACATTTTAGTGATATTGATTAGAAAATATGACATGAACATCATTTCTACGATGTTTCCATCTGTTTTTGAGAAACACGTAATTGTACAGTTCAAAGTCTCGGCAGGGAATTTCAAATTATTTCATTTATGAAGAGTGTGGATTGTCATATAATTATTGTTACTGGTAAATTAGATTTCTTGTAAGTGAATAGATTTTGGTGCGAGTTTATAGTCTATACTTTTTTATATGGAAACGCTATGTATCTTTTGTCCAAGCAATATTTCATTAAGGCATATTTGGTCCTATCTCAATATTTTTGTCCCAACAATCCGCCCTTATTAGCCTATGTCCCATTGGTTATGACTCACCCTGTATATTTTTTAGGGTCCAATATCTCATTATTTCTCAATAATCTTTCACTTCTGCTCTAATGTAACAAAAATCCTTACTTTATTTAGAGAAATAGTATCAAAAATAGCTTCTATATCAGACGGATCATTTACGTTGGCAGATATGGGGTGACTACTCGCTAGGGCATCTAAAGCTAGTGCTGGTTGAGTTTTGTCGACTATAAATTGATCCATCATCCTCCATTCTGGAAAATAGTCGTCCACTCCTTGATATTCGAACAAAGTGGTGAATCCTTCTTGCAGCCAATAGTCGTTCCACCATTTCATCGTGACCAGATTGCCGAACCACTAAAAACTATGTAGTTGTAGATTTTCAGAAATGAAATAATTTGATAATAATATTTAATTACATTTCAACACATAATTACAATCATACATTGAATGAGGATGTACCCAGATGTAAATAAATAATTTGATCGATAAGTGACTGAACACTTGTTTCGAAGAAAGTTATAAAAGAAAATGAGATTATGAAAATATACAGCTAAATATAAAATGATACATACAAAAAAGATACAATAAATATTTTAAAGGCGATATACTTCATATTTTCAAATAATTTGAAAATATAGATTTACAAATAAATAAATAAACGTGATAATACATACAGGCAGACACCCTCACCATGAATATATATTAAAATGTGTATGCATGTTTCATTGATCAATGAAGTACTGTGGAAGGCAGGATAATGTAATTTAGGCATGATTATTTATTTTATTTCAATATCAAAGAGGGATCGAATCATATGTCGTGAATATTCATTAATAAACTCTCTCAACAGTCTCAACTCATTTTTGAATATTTTCTTGTTGTCTATACATTCCAATTTGTCAGAAATGCTATTGTACAACGTGGGAGCTGAGTAGGTAAACATTCTCTGAGCTGTTGTTTTAACCATCAGAGGAACATAATGTTTTTTTTTGTAATTAATATGCTTTGGTAGTTGGTTGTTATGTCGCGTACTGTGATATTTTATGCAAGTAATGAAAAAGTATAGTTGATTAAATTTCTTCAGAAGATAATCTGGAATTTTTTGAAGAAAATCATTTTCATGAATCTTCTCTGTATGATTTCTAATGGGTTCAGATGAGTTTTCAAACCTCCACCCCATGCCGAAATTCCATATCGCATATGACTTTCAACTAGAGCATAATAAAGAATTTTGCATCTCATCTTCTTTATAACGAACATTATTGTGTGAGTTCCATTTCATATGAGAATCAATGATGATACCTAAGTAGTTGATTTTTTTAATGGAATTTATAGAAAAATATCCCTGGGTAGAAGGACCTCGGTCAATAACCCTTTGGATCATGTTTGGTTCAATAAAGTACTATTATTATTATTATAGAAAAATGTTCGTTATTAATAATGATCTGGAGAATGGGATCGGAATCCCAATAAATCGATTGAAAATCTGGAATGTATAGCTCAACCAAAAAAGGGGTTGTAGAGGACATGAGAGAGGGTAATGTTCTAATGTTTATACCTACTTCTGGGAAGTATTTGGAGTAATTTGGAGGTAACTGTTCTCGTCCATGTTCTCTACAACCCCCTTATCGGCGTTCCGTAGAACAAATTTACTTCCTCTACATGACTTCCCAGAATCCAGAGGTAAATATAATACCTAGTAGAATTTCCATGAGACAGAAAATATTGAGAACCCTTATTCCTCTGGTAATTATTATGGTCTGGTCTATAGAGTATTACTCTCTATAACGCCAGCGTAGGGGCTGAACACAGGAATTACGACATCAACATTGGGACATTGTATATTCTTCTGATGACAGCTCTGATTTTGAATGACATCACATTTGAATTTTATGTTATTTCTGTTATTTCTGTTATTGAATCATTTTGCTATTATATGTACGGTGAAGTCATAGAAAAAGTATAGAGTATAACTCGCACAGGATTCTTGTTTCCCAATTCCCACTAGTATGATCAGCATACTCGTGAGAAGTGACTGTCATTAGGTGTTAATATACTAATTTTGAACGCCGTAGGTCAAAAATTGAATTGAGGTGATCATTGTATACATTTTTGTCTATAGTTTAGTGATTCGGGTCTTGAAGACTAAAGTTTTAAAGAAACACTCAATTACTTTACCTGCTGTGCTAATTCATGTGCGATAATAGAAGTAACCCATTGATGGGCTGATATAGATGTTTCACTGGAAAATGGAAAAATGGCAGTTTCGTGGTAAGTTATCAGTCCCCAGGTATCCAATGCACCATTATCTGATTCAGGAAGAGCTACCAAATCTGAAACAATGAGGATCATTAAATTTTGCGAGGTCGTTTTTTGTGCTAATAATCAATATGGCATACTTATATAGCAAGTTTTTTTATCTTTTGGGAATCTCTATTATTTTCGAGGAACAGCGTACATACCTAGGGAGGATATGCAAAGAAGGTAGAAATTTGGCAAAGAATTCCAAAAATTTGTCGTTTTATAGACGAGCAGGAAATAAAGGTTTATTCACAATTATATTTCAAAAGCGAATACTGACAAAGGCTGATAATAATTCTAGTACGGAAAATAATAAGAGACCAAATCAACTGAATAAAAAAAATCGAATAGACAAAATTGTGATTGAAATCATAAAATTATTTTTAGCGATGATTCGAAAAAGATCTATAGGGTGATTATTATCCACCACAAAAAAATTGAATAACTAAATCCAGGCCTGAAAATAATATGTTGATTTCCATTGAGCTGAAGCACTGAAAATGCAAGTTTCACTTTTATTCGTAAAATTTATGGGTTGCGAAGTATAAATTTCCAAATAAATACATTTTTTCCCAAATTTTCATTTTTTCATAAAATTCATAGTTATTTTCAGACAGCAGTGAAAGTGTGAGATACAGGGTGTTGAAATTGAAAATCAAAAATAATTTGTGCGTCCCACATCTTACGAAACATCCTGTATATACATATTTGAATTCACAGAAATATACTCTATTTGTTAGTTATGAAATATATAGGGCGTTCCATTTAAAAATTCATATAAGTTGCCCATAACTTTTTTCGAAATGTTCAACTGTTTTTCTGTTAACACATATAAAAACTACAGGAAGAATTATAAAATACCGTTTAGAAATAATTGAACAATAAATATACGTGAAAACCCTGTACCTACTTTCATTCCGTTTTGGTTTTTCGTCTTCTATCAACACCTCATTTATGAATAGTTTCTCAAATCAATTAATGCACTTCAGGGGGCACTTATACTTACCTAGTTTAGGAAGCGGATACGCTACTCCGAAAAAATTTTCATAGTATTCCAGGAAATAGGTCGCAGTGCTGAGAGTGAAATTTGCTTGAGAAGAAAATGGCTCAGGCGTATAAATTGATACTGATACGCCGCTGTCGGTTTGCTTGTTCTGTTGAGTATAATCGCATATCACAAAGCCTAGTAAATATGTACTCATCTCTTTCGTCTCCAGAAAGTCATCGCGTAACTGAAAATTCAAAAAATATATATTAATAGGCGATAGTGATAGAAGTTTATTTTTTTGTTTTTTTTTTCGGGATATACATGACTGATACTCTGTTTTAACGGTTTTTCTTCTATTTTATTTTCGAATGCGATGTTCGGAAAGTGCGATGATTATTTTTCAATTTAGAACTCCAGGCCATCATATATGAAGAATAAGGATCACGTCGGTGTGACGTACCAATTTGATTAGTAATGTCACCAATTAGTGAAGTCTTCGTGACATTATATTTATGACGTCACCGTGACATTGTTTTTATGACATGATAATCACGAACATAATTTGATTATACGTCATTTATAGGAATATTGGAAACGTTACTTCTATGACGTTGCAGTGAAATATCGATGACGTCTAAAGATCACGTTGGTGTGACTTACCAATTTATATTAGTGGTATTCGATTTTCAGAGAATTTGTCATATTATTATATGCTATTTGTTTCTCTGTTGAGTGACAATAAGGAATACACATGAATATACGTTTCTTAATGAAGTTAGGCTCGTAGGTATCGCATCTCGCCGATACACTTTTACTCCATGATTTCAGATAGGTACTATTACAAATAGGTGGATCTTACACTGACGGGGATTTGTAATATTCTCATGATAGCGTTAACGATGTAAATGACATAACTTTCAGCTCGACTTCAAGTTCTATAAGATGTGTGCCTATAGGAATTTCGAGGGAATAGCAGTATTATCCAGTGAACTTTTTCTAGAATTCGTATCAGAATGTGCACTGCATAATATGTTTTTCTCTTTTTTCTTTAGTTTTTATTGTTATTTCCTAGTTGAGATTGATTGAAAGAAAGCACTAGTGTTGTGTGGTATTGAAAGCTGGATATTGATATCGATGTATGCTTTGATATCAATGTGTATCGATATATGCCAATGAAACGTCGTCTGTCTACCTGGATAATGGTTAATGTACCTATGAATGAATATTTGATACTTACCAGCCCTGTACCCATGTAGAATCCTAAGTCATCAGTATTTACTACAGGAGTGTTGAAAAGAGTTATATGAAATCTGTCTCGGAAAATAGTTAATCTGAATTTTGCTTTAAACTGGGGTTCATCGAAACATGGGAAGGCAGTTCGAGCATATGTTGGTTCAAAATTTGTAGCTGCTATGTATCTGCAAAAAACAAGTTCATTTGAGACTAATTCCCTGAGATTACTATCAACGTCCATCAACAATTTCCGATCACCATTAAAACGAATTCAAACTTTGAAGCAGAATAGTATATAACCATAAAACTATACATGTTATAATTATAACACCCTATATAAAGAGTCACCCACTTGAGACCGGAATATACTTCTGGATTCAAAATGGATATAATTTAAATGTCATTACAATATATTCAACAACAAATTGTGTATGACGCGATTCTGTTTAATCCTTCTTCGATCTTAGGCCACTAGATGGCGATAAAATGATTAGATCATAAGGTATCATCCGATTTTTTCGATCTGGATCTGGATGACATCCCCGAAACGTTGAGTTGCCCCATTCCGCATTTGTCAGCATACCGAGAGCAGATGATGAGTTCGGATAGACCGGAACAGTAGTCTTGCTCTTATTGCAATCTAGTTCTTTCAAAAACGAACTAAGTAATTTCAACATCTGTTACGTGTATATTCGCGATATAATTGAGTTTATTTTAATTTAAAAAAATTCACTTAAATTAGTTTTTGTAAGTTATCGATTCCAAATTAGTACAACTGTTGGTCACCAGGTAATATATTATCGCGATCAAGCTTTTCAGATTTCTATTGCCCCTAGCGGACAAGAACAGAACAATATTCAATAACTATCTGTTGCGCACAAAAAACGCTGTTCTACATTATTATTTATATCTTGCGCAGAGGCGAGTAGCCGTTTGAAAACATTTTCTTCAAAGATAAAATATCGAAAATCATCCATAATTCAACCGGTACGTGGACATTAACACTTCTAGTTATTGAATGAAAAAAAAAAAGATCAATCGCGGAAATTCGAAACGTATTGGAATAGCGTTGCGGGTAAAAAATGTAAGACTTTTCCAAGTGGCCGGCAGGTTCAATTTCAGCTATCCCGGATTTCCTTGATCATCTTGCAGCTTCAAAAGCTAAGGAATTTGAAAAGCCAATGCACTTGAATCCAAAACCAGAAAACGGCCCATTTTTCATCATCTGATCAATTTTCTTTTCCGGATACAAACTACAAAAATCGATAGATTTCGTCTGGAATCACCCCATTCAAAATCATTCATTGTGTAAATACTTATATACTTACTTTTTTTAATATGAGGTTTCGGTCAAACTTTAAATCAAATGTGGGGAATCCTTTTCTAACATGAAGAATATTTGTGTTTTTAATTTTTTGTTATTTTAAAAAAAACACACAATAAGATTGCTATCAAAAATATTTAATAACAAAATCGATAATTTTGAAGTGCAATTACCGTTTGTAAAACATGAATAGATAAGACTGTTCCGTTCTTAAGTTGGTCACACTGTATAAAGATTATAGTATAATCCGTTTTTCTTCATCCCCGCAACCTCAACGCCCTACCGGGGGAAGTACAACTCCCGGATTTTGAATAGGGATTTTGAAGATTTCATCGAGTACTATCCGACTATTGAAGCAAAATTAGGTCGGATAGCACTCGATGAAATCCTCAAAATGAGGTAGGTACCGCAACACTCCTCATACTCACAATCCGGGGATCGTGCTTCCTCCTGGTAGGGGATTGAAGTCATAGGGATGAAGAAAGCAGACTAGTCGTTCCCCCTCTTATCAGAAATCGATAGGTCCGAGCGTTCTTCCGGATTCTCATTTTAAAGCCCTAAAATCGGTGTGTAAAGTTTCCGTAGGACCACCCTGTATATACTCTGATGGAGCTTTGATTAGATTTTTTTATCTCTTTGAGTGCACGAGAGGAAATTCCTATAATTTTCGGAGAACATCGTGCGTTCCTAGGGCAAAGAATTCCGAAGCCTTGCCTTTTTATAGGAAAACGAGTTTTGGTAAAGTGTTGTTCGACAAATTTCAAGGTTGACAACGAAATGATGTGCTGAGCTTGTCGAGTTCGTCGGATTGGGATTGCTAGTAATGGAATAATAGCAGAGATTTCTGAGGAACATTTCCCGTATGAGTATCTATAGAAAAGTGGAAGGTCGCCGACCTTTCAACGGTGTTCTAATGAGGTCGAAGAATTAGTGAGTGCGGCGAATGGCTCTTCTCTGGATGGAATCTGAGAGCATCAGCGTATATTTGGGTGCTGAACCCCATTATGTCAGAAGAGTATTCTAAAACTGGCCGTATCTGTGCTTTGACGATCATGAGAAGCTGTCGAGGTGTGAAGTAGATTTTCGGACAGAAAAAAAAAGTCAGAGTTCTTGTGAATCAACTTTCGCGATGGATCGGACATGATTTTCCCATGAAAGAGTATTGGTCTTGGTGGGAATGGTGGTACCAGATATATATCAGGCAAACTGAGTTCCGCCTTTCTAGAGAAAATACAGTTTTAGTGGCGTTGAATTCTACTAGGTTGTTGGTTCCCAGGCTGAAATTTCAGCAAGATCGCCATTAATAACAGCGTTGACTTGCCTTCGTCGTAAAATCTCAGTTTCCTGGGAAGAAATGGGAATAATAGAAGAGAACCCAGTGTGGAGAGTACCTGCAAAGCTGTGGATAGGGTAAGTGGTTTCTCATACCAGTTCATTGATATGAAGTAGAAACAGTGTTGGTTACAAAATCGCTCCTTGTGTAACTCCGGAATGGATGGCAATGGTATCAGGCGATATTCCGTCAACCACCAAATGAAGCGATCTGCCTAAAAGAATAATCGATAGAAGATGGCATAGCTGAGGTGATAAGCCATATGATGGTAGTTTGTGGAGGAGTATATGGTGCCAAACACTGTCGAATGCGTTCAATATATCCAATGCCAATGACGTAAGCAAGTAAATCTGCAGTTGGTTCGGTGGCGACAGCCATATTGTTTATTATCGATGATTCCTGAGCTTTCCAGATATTTGATGAGCTCGATGTTGATTCTTCATCACTTTGGAGATGACTGATAACAGGGCAATTGGCCTGTAGTTGTTGGGCAGGCTTTTGTTTCGTTTTTTTGGTAATCGTTGGAATCAAGTTGAAAAAATGGCCGACTTGTAGGAGATGGTTAATAACTTGCAGAGAATCGGTGTCAATTCTGGTGCACACTTTTTGAGAATGATGGTTAGAATTCCATCAGGACCGTTAGCTTTATTTGTTTTGAGATCGAACAGATTGCGTCTGATAGTGCGTTGACAAAAGACGATTTTGTCCATTCGACTCTCAACGGGTGGAATGTCTGTCGGCACTTTTCCGTGGGAATCTAAGGTGAAGTTGACTGCGAAAATCTCTGCAAAAATGTTTGCTTTACCTTGTGAAGTTGTTGCTAATGTATCGTCGGCTTTGGAGAGTGGTGGGAATGAACTGATAGTGAATTTCTGTTTGACTGCTTTAGCGAGGGATCATAAACGAACTGGAGCCATTGAGAGTTTTGATTTCATTTTGGCATTGTATGATTATTCTGATGCATTTATTGTTTGGCTGCATTCATTCCGGGCTTCTACATATTCTACTTTAGTCACGAGGCGGTTAGCGCGAACGATGGTAGGCTTCGATATTTCAAGGCAACTCTTGTTGAACCAAGGTTTCGAAGGTGACGATCTTTTCGAAGAATGTGATATGTATGTGTCCATTCCAAGAGTGATGATCTCGGATATTTCCGCGGCACACTGTGAAGGATCCTCAGAATCCAAGCATATTATTCTATGCCATGGGAACTCAGAGAAGAACATGTGGAGACCATCACAGCTCCTGAGTTATAATGCCATACAAGACGTTGGGGGAACCGGAGAAGTAATCGGCAATCAATAATTTGTATGGAATGGTTTTTCTTGAAATATTGTTTGAAATGTCTGCCATCACTTGGTATTCTAACCTTTTAAGGCCTATTCAGAAAACATATTATGAAGCTCTGATCATTCAAGAAATATCCGGGTGTCAACAGTATATATAGGTACCTTCTTATAACAAGCCTGCATACAATAAAATCATTACTTTATAATTTTGACTTCAACGCTTTCCAGATATCGATCATAATTAATATAGTTGAATTAAGAACGAAACGTTTTGAGATGAACCGAAAAAAATATGAAGGTGATATTCGAAAAACCAAAGTTAGGGATGGTCTCGAGTATAAATTGTTTGCCACAAGGAGATTTTGTGATCCCCAATAAAATGCCACTATTCCTATCAAATTTTTAGTGTGTCACGTATCCTAGATATTTTCTGGTCTAAAAGCTCTGGGACACCTTGTAAACACCTTCATTATAATGCCCTGAAAGTATTTGAATAGTTAGGTACTTCAAAATTGATTTATTCCTATTCAATAGTACCTATGTCAGAAATGTTTCTCGAAGTATATGAACGTTTCAAGAATATTTATAAGGTAGGTGCGGGTAATAAGGCCTAGCTAAGGGGGATTTGAAATAAAATGGAAACTATTTAACAAAATCAACGAATTTCAATGTTAATTAAACCTTAAGATCAGGTCCTGTCAAAAATAAACAGAACATGGCAACGTGTGTCATAAATAAAAACATGATTGACCATTTTTAAAAACCTTGTCAGTAGGCCTTAAGAAATAAAAACAGTCTCCTAACATTTGGCAAGTGAGATCGATAATTGATAATCATGCATTGATCATGCTGAGGTCTTGAAAATAACAACAAATTTATTTGTTTAACAACCCTCAGGACACTCAAAATTATCTGTATCATCCGCTGACAAACCGACGCACTCCTCGTGATACCACTTGATACATTTAGAACATTTTCTCATGTCAGCCATTCCTCCTCACAAACATGACAGTACCAACTCGCCTGGTTCTGTTCAGTACCACTTCTACTTTTGGGGGTTGAGGTCTTTCTAATTATTTTATTGGTAGGCCTTAATAACCTCCAACAACGTGTGTAAAGGAAATCTGAAAAAAACATTATTCGGACCTTGACATATTAATCAAACATCAAAGATCGCAGAACCATGACATAATAGAGAACTATAACGCAGAATTATATTAATAAGTGTAATATTTCAAAAAATACGAACGATTGATTTGGACGAATTCTTATTATTCGAGCCACACGACCACTACTCTTAACGAATGACACCGCACTGGTCGCCCTTAGCGACCAAACACATCGCGGCAGATTTCAGGCGTCATCTATGATAGTTAGCGACCTGTTAGTGTGACCTTGACCGACACCGACAATTTTAAATTGCATTTTCATCATTTAGGCCTTATTAGCCGACAGGCCTTATTACCCGCGCCTACCTTATTCACTTTATTATTTCGGAATTTAATATTTCAATAACTTTCATATCCACTTCAAAATATTCGATAGGTTATTGAATCTTCTCAGTTTTGAGAGAATTTTCAACATTCAATTACCAAATAACCTACCCTATTTTTTCAGAGTATTTACCCAGCTGATATTCTTTGGTAGGGAATAATTACAAAATACCATTCGCATCCTGTAGATATATTTTAATACTTACCGCCTATCTCCATTTTTGCCGATGTAGCTGGAAATGTAAAATCCTACAGGGTCCTTATTCAGTTTGAAGTTGTATCTGATTCTTAAGGTATAATTGTGTCTCTTCTTGAATTTTTCTCTCACTTCTATATATATTTGTTGTGCCCCGGTATATTCCAAGATTTTTACCACGGTCAGATTATTACCTCTTCGGTCCTGTATCATCTTATCCAAAATGGTGAGATTTTTACAATGGAGCACTATAAAATTCGTATCTTTTTCTGATTGGAATTCAATAGAAACCTGACCTGAAAATACATAAAAACAGAATAATGAGTATCTACCTACATTATGTTTATTTTTTGTACTGGATATTTCAATGTCTTAGAAACTGTCGAATTGTTCAATCTGTCGAATTTCTGATTCATTCCTTCATGGAACCACTCTAAATATCACTACCGAGCTAGCAATAATTTATCTTCTATTGAGGTTGTTGAAACTGCAATACAGCAACTCTTATGGAACTGTTTGAAATGTGAAATGTCTTTACAACCAACATTTTGATACCAAAAGATTTCAATAACAAAACTATACAGATAAAGTACCTTCTTTTAAACGTTATTATTGGTATAATAATCATGAAAATGTTGAAGACAATTAACGTTATACAATAACTCTGATACCTTCGTAAATAACTACTATAAAGCCAATGTATAGAAGTCGTGAAATGCATTTTGTAATATATGTACAGTGAGGAACCCAATTCCGTCGCCCTCTTCGCAACTTCTCTTCAGTTACTTATTAAAAAAAAATATCATTCGATCTATTCGATGGTTCAAGTTTCATTCATTCAGAGTGTGTCAAAATAGCGCAGCGACTTAGAAGCTAATTTTTTCTACGTTAAATCCTGAACAAGTTTGGTTGATTATTTTACATCACTAAATAAAATAGTTTTGGAATTATGAACAATTCAATATTATTGTAAATTTTATTTCCACTAGCTATTTTGTTGAATAAACATGGCGTAATATTATGAAATGCTTTTATTGTTCTACACTATACAATGATACAGTTCTATGATGTTGATCATCTCATCAGTAGAAGGTATCTTATAATGTAACGTTTCCACTTATCCTCATATATTTAGAATAGTCACACTACACTGTTTTACCACTAACCAAACAGATTTTTTATACGCCTCGACACGTGTTTCGCTAACTATATGATAGCATCTTCAGACGGAGATTTATACTCATTATAGTGCATAGATATAGTGTTATAATTGAGGAAAAAACTCTAATAGAACTATTTATATGACCTCTATACAATCACATATCAGCGTCTAAATTGAAGACTACAAGAATGATTATCAGAATGATTATTTTCTTCGTATGATTTTTAACCAATCAGATCGTTCAATTAAGTTAAGCTACCTTGTATAATTCCGAATATACGTGGATATACATAGCTCTGCCAATCAGAACTTTAGAATTATTTCCATAGTAACCAATTCATATTGTTACATAAAAACAAAGCGCGTCGTATAATGTTGACGTCTGTTCAGAACTACTCAAAAAATAATCGCATCGAATACAATTCGAACTTCAAACTATTCATGGTTATACATCTCAAACTTCCTGCATAATTACAAATCGTGTCAGTTCAACAGAATATTTCAACTGTCAAACTGACACTCTTTGTAATTATGCAAAAATAAGTTAACGATGAATAACCCGAATATTTCAAAGTTGTAGTATACTACTAATTATACAAGTGTTATAATAATATATAATGTTTATTGAAATATGTATATAAATGATTGGTTGATATATAAGTTGTATACAATCAGTGTAATAATACTTGTGAGTGAACGATATAATGTGTTCAATGAATTCCATGATGTGTGCTTTGAGAACGGTTATACGATAGAATAAAACCATCTATTTATGAAATAAAATTGTTCTTTTATTAGTACGCAGTAAAGAATGAAACCGTTCTTCAATAGGCGTTCAATGATAATCATAGGATTATTCACTTCTATATGAGTTCTATTTTGCTAGTTGTGTGTATCGGGTGTCCCTGAGAATTAGTGCAATATTTGGCTATCATGCTGATAAACTATTTATAAATATATGTAGGTATACTGTGTCCGTATAAAGTCCACCCCCCTACTAATTTTTTGAACAAAGGAATTTAGTGGGCTTGAGTCACAGCCTTGAATAGGAGATGAAAACCTACTTTCTATGGAAAAATGACACCATGAATTCTCAAAATAGCAGCTGAGCACCATCTTTTTCTTCAATGGAAAACCTTCCCACTAAACACATTTCAGTATCAAAAACGTTTCAGAAATGTCTTTCGGATATTTGAAACCTCTCCACTTAAGTCTCAGGTTCGTTCCAGAGACGTTCCAGAGAATATAAATATCCTACCTCATTGAAGTTTCATGGAACGTTTCAACAAAATCGTCCAGACACGTTTCGAGACAACCGTTATGGGCACGTTCCAACTAAACTGTCTTGGATGAGTTTAAAAAAATGTCCTGAACACGTTTTTTTGTATAGATCAACTCTTCAAAGAAAGTGGATATGGTGTTGAAATAAAGATACAGAGACAGTAGAAACAGACAAATTTATTAGGTACTACTTATTCTTATTTTACAAACATTAGGCAATAATTACCCATCACACAGATGTGAGAAATACAAAACGCAAATATTCTAAACAAATCCACACTAGCCCAACATATCCTATAATGAACACTTTCAACTAATATCTCTACCCAATATAATGTCCACAAAACAGCGAAAGTATATACAGCCAACCAATATAATTCGATTGCCAAAAGGATGGATCCTACCTTTTATGTAAACAGCTTCTCATGATGGTAATCCGTGCCGTTCACCAATATCATTCACGTACATTTCCTTCGGATGTGGAATCATTCTCGATAAAATACTATGTGAATCCTAATGACCCTTTTTGGCTTCTCAAAACTAAGCAATTGAATACGATGGATCACAAATTAACTATCATCAGGTTTGACTACCATTGCCAACATTCAGAAATCAGAAACAGTGACTAGGTATTTCGCAAACTCAAAGTAGGACTGTAGCATTAGTTGGCGATTGAGTGTTGTTGAGCTCACGCTCATCTCACGCTGTCTAAGCTATCATTGACTCTCGTCCACAGAACTCATAGGCTCTCGTCTCGTTTTAGTCGACTCCCTCTGACCTTGTACTGTCTTGTACCGATACCGATCCTTCCCCTTTTCGAATGATATCCCTCGATTGATGGATGGTATGTGCATTTCCAATCCAGGAATATCTCAACCAGAACTAGACATGAAACGGATATCCATAGAATATTATCCTGTGTTATGTGTGTTTCAGATGAATGGCGAATCTTTTTCTAGAAATCTGTTGAACAGTTCCAGATATACTTCACCATTCCAGAGGACTTTCGTTCAGCCCTGTACATAGACGTCCATAATTCGATTTCCTGGCAGAGTTTATAATACAATTTAGGTCGATATTCGATGGGAAGGGGGAGGTTTCCACCCTGATGTTCTGCGAGTTCAAAATTCACCCTCGATGCGTTCCTAAATTGAAAATTATTCCAGCAGGGAATTTAATCTCTATCGCTACGTAATTTCTTCGCGGGGTATTTCTTGAAAAATGAACACCTGCCATTTCTACTGGGAAATTATTCCTTTCAAGAATCTCATTTATTAATTCATTATTTTGTGAGTGGAGAGTCTTTATTCATTTATGTTTTGTATATAGATCTTAACCTACCGGGTAACAACATATTACATATTCTTCTGAACATTTGCAACTGCCTTGAGTACTTAACTAAGAGGTGAAAACTATGACTCATATTTTTTACTCATCATTCATGACCCTTAGAAGAATAAAAATCATTTTGGAAAATCGAGTAAATGGTTTTTTCAAAACTATGTGATCGTACTCAGAATCTTCTACAGAATTTGTAATCGGATGTGGTGGAGAAGTATAAAATATTGGGGGACTATACAGGGTGTTACCAAACTACGGTACGAAACTTCAAAGGGTGATTTTTTGGTCGTTTTAAGAAATAAAGTTCCCATGAACATACGTCCGGAACAATTTTGTTCATCTTTTGGACGGCCCGCAATGGAATTCCTATTATGTTTGTTTAACATTATTGTGCGTACCTGGAGCGGATAAGGAGAGAAGGTATACATGTTGGGATTTCTTTTGAAGGTTATAAGTTCTCGGGAATACTTCATAAGAATTCCAAAGTTTTGCATTTCTAGAGAAAAATCCGTTTTGATAAAGATGAATCTGGAATGTTCTCTTCATCGAACCCTTTCAGTATTTAGAGTAAATCCCTTCCCTTTGTGTACAAGAATTTCTGCTGTATCTGACGCTGCAGCTGCATAGCTATTAATTTCTCTACGTTGACACCTAATGACATTGATCCAGATTTTATAGCGTTGTTTTATCAGTTCGTTTGGCCATTAATTCAGTTTCATCACTTGACTTTGACTTTTATTGAATTCAGGTGTTGGTGATAATTTAAATTTTATCACTTGACTTTGACTTATATTGAATGCAGGTTCTTGGCAATTATTTCAGTTTCATCACTTGACTTTGAATTTTATTGTATGCATGTGCTTGGCCATTAATTCAGTATTATCACTTGGCTTCGACTTGTATTGAATGCAGGTGCTTGGCCTAGCTATAATATAATATAATATGGTCAAACAATTTTAGCTTTGCATTTGTTAGAACCAGCACATACTGATGGAAATACCGAGCATAGATATGGTGGACTTTGAGTGAATGTTGGTATCTACTAGACATTGTTATATCAGGCACATTGAGTTCGGGTTTTCTAGAGAAAATACAGGCTTGAATTTTGGTGACGTTGAATTCAAGCAGATTGTTGGTTTCCCAGGCTGTAATTTTAACAAGATTTTCATTGACAACGATAACCTGCCTTCTTGGTGAGTTCATCGTTTCCTGAGGTGAAATGGAAATTCTGGAACATAATGCAGGATGGAGAGTACCGTCATCTGCAATGTTGTAGATAGGGAAGGTGAATACTTCCAACAGATCATTGAAATGGAGTGGAAACAATGTTGGTTCCAAGACTGATCTTTGTGGAATGTCGGAGTTAATGGCTATATGGTATCAAATGATACTCCGCGTCCACCACCACAAGGGCCAATCTGTCTGAGAGATAACTAGATAGAAGAAGGCATAGGTGAAGTGGTGAGCCTTATGATGAGAGTTTGTGAAGAAGTTCTTGGTGCTAAACATGGTCAAATGCTTTCAATACATCTAAAGCCTCTCTAGAGATTTCCAATGTTTTTCTGAGGATACTTGGCAATTCAGTTGATATTCTACAACTAAAACTCACTAGTACAGGTGAGAATAGTACTGAGGGTTCAAATATCTATCGGATCAGATAATCGCCCTTGAAGGTGGACGCATTATGTTCTTTCAAATGGAACACTTGATAATTTTGATCGGATTTGAAGTATACCAACAATCCATTGTTTAGTGGCTTTGTGATGACCAAATAGGAGAGCAATACATTTGGCCCTAAAGCAATATGAATCAGCCTTAAATTCTGGACCAAGAAAATTTCGGAATTGCGAAGTACTTCTGCTATCCTAAATTAATCCACAGAGATAAATCGGAATCCTTCGTATCATTTATTTTGTATTCACTATAATTCCTTCTACTATAGAGTCGCATGAAGTAGGAAGCCTATGTGAAACCAATGAAAGGTCACTTCAATTTCATCAGTGTTTCATTTGAATTCCTGTTTATTTAAATAATTTTATGAAGTGTCCTCTTTTCAGAAAAATAGCTGTTTTGTTTTTATTCGGAGTGAAACATGGAAAATATAAAACTATTTTAAACACTAGATGAGAAATGTTTTGACATAGGTAACTTATTCGTGTTTTTTCTAAGGGAAACGAATTTTATTCTGTTTGTACCTTAATTCGCCATAATGTTGATATAACTCCACTGGATCAAAGACATTATTATGGATAATTTACTTGCCAACCTGACAAGTACGCACTGATGATGATGTTAGTCGAAAGCGCTCTGCTATGAAAAACTATATAACATTTATTCTTTATTCTCGGGATCCCGACTTCAAAGTCGGACCCCCGACATTAATCTCGGGATCCCTACATTAAAGTCGAAGACACTAGGCTTGTTACATAACCGTGGAAGGTGCACTAACTGCGCAGTCAATGTCTGTCATGGTTTACATGTTGATCCTAATCCTAAATCACTGTACTTATTTGTAACTCTTTTATATTCTTTTCAATTTTTACTTATTCCACAGCGGTTTCAGACGGTTCTGAAATTTGTTTACTAATTGAAGAAGTTCATGGATAAGTCCGAAACGAGTGTTCTCAGACCCATGTTATCATATATCATTGAATTCGTCTTTCTAAGCTCTATCCAAGGATCAAATGATATACAGCGCGTTCCATTTGAAAATTTCGAGAAAATGATCGGTTTGCAAATACGTCACTCACTTTTTTCTGAATTATATTGACGAAATATCAATATAACATATAGAATTTGTTAATTCATGATGCAACCTGCGCATCGGAAACTTGATTCTCAAAGTATCTATAATTTGGCTATTTATTGAAGAAGATTATGATCATTGAACTGATCTTTCTGAGCTCTACCCAAGGACGAATTGAAATTCAGGATATTCCATTTGAGAAAATGTATGTTTGGTATTTTAGAGGCATATAGACATTATACCTAAAAAAGAAATTCTATATGACCATAAACAACTCCGATTCTTTAATTTTTTTTCTATCTATTCAACAATGAGATTCTCAGCTATTGAGTAGAATATAAACAATTACCCTGTACGTACGATAATGATAATGATCGTACAGGTGTGATCCAGTATATGACATTCAGTGTACATCCAAAAACGTAAAGGTTTTCGATTGATCCTGTGATGATTATCCAATGGATGTAAAATTATTGTACATATACAGGGTGTAAATTTGAAAACTTTTAATGCGAATATCTCGCGAAATAAAAAAGTTAGAAAAACGCCGAGAGATATTCGCATTGAAAGTTTTCAAGTTTACACCCTATATATAGGTAGGTACGTATAATAAGTAACGTTCGGATTATTGGTCGATTTTATTGTATATTGAATGTACCTCCCCAAATGTTCTGTAATGAATGTTCCATTATACTCTCTTTTTTCATTTTGTGATTTGCATTCGTTTGTTCAAAGGGTGCGAAAAGATTGTACAGATGAAACCCTACAACTTTTATATTTGAAGTTTTCTCCACTTCGTATAGTTGAAGCTGTAGGTAGGGATCAAAATATAAAGATACATCCTGTACAGGTGAGACCCCCGACTTTAAAGTCGATATCCCGAGAATAAAGTCGGGGGTCCGACTTTGAAGTCGGGTTCCCGAGATTGAAGTCGGGATTCCGAGATTGAAGTCCGGATACCGAGGTTAAAGTCGGGATCCCGAGATTAAAGTCAGGATCATGAGATTAAAGTCAGACCCCCTACTTTAAAGTAGGTATCCTGAGATTAAAGTCGGAGGTCTGACTTTAAAGTCGGGATCAGCGCCTTCGTATGAACATAGGTATGAACATGTTTATCTCTACAACAAAATCGCATTTAGGACAGATGTTCATAACTTGTATCTCAGAAATAGGACCAAACTGACTCTCTGTAATTAACAACTGTCCTGAAAATCAATATATATATATATATATTGATTTTCATAATGCCAATGTGTTCACCTTTAAACGTCCTTTGAGAACATTTTTGTTGAACCATCCTTTAAATTGACCTGCATCATTGATGTATAGGGTAAGTTAAATAAAATTAAAATATAAATTATATACACCCTAAGGAAACCAACTTCATTTACTTCATACTTTTCTGATTGTTTTTTTTTTCTTCAGTTACTTACTATAGTGATTAAAAATTAAGTTAGGGTTATATATTAAACCATCAAGATTTTTTTTGAAAAATATTGTAGAACTTGTGGTTTTCTCTGATCTTATATGTGTAGGTACAAATTCAGGAGCTTATTCTGCTTATTCTATATTATGAATACAGATATATTATTATTATTGATTTGAATGCACAATATTCCAGTTACGACTCTGCGGCCTCCGACGCCACGCAGAGTCGTGCTGGATAAAATCCAGTGACTACTCCCCACAGCCTGTGGGGTGAATAATCACTGGGACCTTGAACCGTGTGCTCTGAGTAAACGTAATGATCCAAGTATGACGACCTTCTGCATTCCACCAGCCAGAATGTGTGCCTTATCACTGCACGCTGGGATTTTCTGGATTGCCGAGAGCAGCGTATGTCGTGTGCCTCCTAGGGAGCCGATTATCAGGATAACCAATCCCACAAAATGGTCTGGATAGAGCCTGTGGAGTTGGAAAAGAAGATCTCGATATTTGGTCCGTTTTTCCTCCTCCTTCAAAACGATGTTCGGCTGGCGCCGAAAACTCGATCACGAACATGGCTTTGGTTTGATGGTCGAGGAGGACAACATCAGGCTTGTTAGCTTGTATTTGCCTGAGGGTGGGGAATGAGAAGTTCCAATAATTTCGGCACCTCTCATTCTCCACAACGGACTCAATATCCCGCCGAGCATGGGGCAGCACTGTGGTCTTGTCTATTCCGTACGAGTGCCTCAAATGGTAGTAGAGCACTCGCAATGCCGCATTGTGTCTATGGATATAGGCCGAGACTGCATACACCGTGCAAGAAGATAGCAGGTGCATAATTGTCTCGGGCGCCCTGCGGCAGGCCCTGCAATTTGTGTCAGGGACCTCCATACCCATGACACGGCTACGGTAGACGAGAGTGTTGAAAACCTCATACTGGCATGCCATGATGAACCCCTCTGTTTCCGATTTAAGCACGCCTGGCTTTAGAAAAGCAAAAGTCAGTTCTTTGGATAAGCAACGGTCTTCAATGGTCTTGAAGTAGACCGAATGCATGGGCTTATCCATGTGAAGCTGCATGAGCTTTCTCACTTCTGCAGCTTTGATGCGGGCCTTTCTCCGAGCGGGTTCTAGCTCAGTAACTGAGTCCTGAGCCTCGCGCTCGGAGTCGATTGCTCGTCGGTTGCTCGACGTGCTGCCCTAAAAAGAAAAGCTCCTACTTCTGCCTCTTCATGGGTTTTAACCATTTGCAGGAGGAGGGGATCCGAACTCCTGATGACATTGCAGGCGCCATCCAGAACCATTCTGTTATGCAGATACTCCAAGCTCAAGAGTCCACGGCCACCCTGGTCTCTAGGTAGGTATGTATAACCGTGGAACGGACGAATTTTTGGGTGCAGACTCCTATGGAGATGCATCATCTTGCGAGTACTAAAGTACGTCAAATTGTCGCAGCTCGACTTGAGTCCACTTTATCACTCCAAATGAGTAAACTAGGATCGGAACAGCAAGCATGTTAGTAGCAGTGGTTATTATTATTATTATTATCATTTTTGAGTACCTACTACATGTTGAGCAAAAAAAAATTGAAATCGGTCAACGGATAAGAAAAAACAAGGGTGGTACTGATCAAAGTCAGACACACTGTAACTATATAAGTATATATGGCACAACACGAAAATATTGGCCATTCAGGGTTCGGTAACAAAAACAAAAATAATAATTCTAAAATATCTTGAAAACTGATATCTTACTCTGGTCATATTGTGATATTCTGGTCAGTCATTATCTGGCCTATAAGCTTTTCAAGGGATGACGTTGACTTTGGGGACACCCTGTATAATGGAGGTCAGAATATATCGTTGATGATAGGACACTAATTGGTATGGGTAAAGTGAAAGAAAATTCGGTACTGACCCACACAATACTATATTGAAAATGTTCTAATATTATTGTACTTACTTCTGACTTCCAGAGTTGTTAGATTCGGATGAATTGTTAGGTTATAGCGATTGGGTTTCAAGGAGGTAGGAAGACGAATATTGTTCCAAGGGAAGATCTGTCCATTTGTTGCTCGAGGAATAAAAGTCCTTGTCATGTTAGTCGTTTCATCGGCAAAGTTCGCAGGCTTCTCACCAGCACAGGTACAATCTAAAATCAGAAAATCGGATTAGAAACCCTCGGGAAGTGTTTGGGAAGGGTGTGCATTGCATATCACGTATTTCCCTTGAGCCCCATATTTTCCAGCACTTTCGTGTCTAGGGGAGATCAACGGGATTTCTATGTTACAAGCTAAATCGGATATGAATGCTAACTAATACATCAAATTTATTCCATTCGACAATAAATTCTAGATGATATAATAGGCAGAAAATCAGAGAAAAAATTATTTATCTCATCCAAGTAGAGCATACAAATTCTGTATGACCCACAGAGGGTTATTATAGGTAAAAGGTGAAAGCCTGAGAACGATCAAATATATCGCGGAAACCGTTTATCCCATGGACGTGTTTATCCGATTTTGTTTCCAAATATTCACAGAGTAGTTACATGAGATATTCATCAAGGACATTCACAAGATATTCTCAGGAATGTCCAGAAAACATTGTATATCCACAAAATATCTTTTAGCTACGGATATCATTGGGATATCATTGAGGAATATCGTTTTATTATATCAAAGGAATTAAACAAAGAGGGTCAAAAAATCAAAATGTATTCAAACGTTGAAAAATGAACTATAAAAGAATAAAATTCTGGATATGAAACTTAACTTATGTACAAAAAAAACGAAACAACATCTGTGATGTATAAGATAGTGGAATAGAATATTGAATTCGAAAATATAAATTGAAACAAATTATAACAGAGATCACTTCTTAGAGAATTATAATACTCATCAGAGAACAAAATTTTGGAAAAAGAATAATAATATACTCTGTGCTCTCCAGTTTTCTTGATATATTATCAATTTTTATTTGCTTCCGATATTTTCAATGATGGCCATCTGTAGAATATTTGTCAACAGATATGTGTTTCAAAATCATGCATGGTACTTATGAGAGATTTTAATTAACTTATACAGGGTGGGGTAATAGTGCATCGAGCTCGATCGCTCGGGATCTATGGTAAGCTAAGAACATGATTCAGATACGAATGAGAATAATACAACAAGGGCCATAACTAGAAATTATTGCCGCATATACATGGCGAACCGAAAAAAATCTAGAGAGTCGAAGGCACTTTTTTTGAATTGAATGCCATGTATAAAAGCAATTTTTTTGAAGCATTTCTGTGACCTTCTTCCACCCCTGTAATATCTTTTAGTTTTGAATTTTTTCGTCTGCAGATGCATACCGAAAAATTCACTGTTGTCGCAATTATACAATTTGAGAGGAGATTACCATATCATCATTTGATGGGCAGTTGCCTGATATTTCTGAATAATTTTCATGCCCGCAAATTATACAGGGTGGCTGTAAATGCTTTTTCAAAACTTTTAGAAGTTGTTTTTTTTTCGAGTTTTTCGGATGGAACTCCCCATATATTTTTTGGCCATGTGATATAAAAAATTTGAACACGAACATCTTCTGTCTTCACATCCATATTGATATTCATAACCATTTTCGAAATATTGTACTTTGAAAATTATAGGCTGTTTATTTTGAATGTTTGAGAATGAATCATTGGATAGCATGTGATGAAGCCACAATTCTTCGATGGTCCCTTGACAAGAGCTGTTTATTTGAACTTGAAAATACTTGCCGCAATTATTAGTAAATTTTCCTGGAAGCAATAGAATGTTGTTTCATACTATTTAAATGCAGTAAGGCAACACTTATATGATATTTACCTACTTCGATGGATTGATAGAAACGGACCCACTGAAGGGCCTACTAGATCTCCTGATTTTCCAAGCATGGATTTCTTCCAAACTTGATACGTGAAGGAATTTGTGTATGAGATGCACCAACAATGATTGAAGATATGAAGGAAATGATCACAAATGCTTTCAAGAACCGGCAGTTCTGATTCTATTATTCTGGTTTGCTTTCGATGTGTTATGAATTTATTGGATATTTTTGAGGAATAGCAATGTTGTGCAATTTGATTATAATATTGATATCAATTAATTCAATACGGAAATCTGGGGTTATTGAATAACTGAATAAACTCTTGATGTTTTTGTTACAGATTTAAACGTGTATCAATCAAAATGGCCAGCATATATAATTTTCAAAGTTCAATAATTCAAAATAGGTTACGAGTATCAAAATGGATGTTCGTGTTTAAATTTTCTATCACATGGTCAAAAAATATATGGGGTGTTCTGTTTGAAAAACTCGATAAAAATCACGTCAAGAAGTTCCCAATTGAAAAATCAGTTACAACCACCCTGTATAATTTGAAAGCATGAAAAATCTGCGGAAATATCACGCATCTGTTCATCAAATGATGATATGGTAATCTCCTTTGAAATTTCATAATTGCGACGACAGTGGTTATTTCGGTATGTATCTTCAGATGACATTATTTCGACAAAAAAATGCATAGCTTTGATAAGATCGAGATAAAGTGGATGTTATTATAGGGGTGGATGGACGTCAAGGAGATGCTTGAAAAATGTGCTGATATACATCGCATTCCATTTAAAAAAAGTGCGCCCCACTCTCTAGATTCTTGTCGGTGCGCCCTGTAAATGCGGCAATAATTTCTAGTATCATATAGAACTCGAGCAATCGAACTCCGACGCACTATTGCCTCACCCTGTATATAAATATCCCATGAATGTCCCGGAACAAGCTTTGATGAGATAGATACGATTCTTTTCAGAAAGATACGACTTTTGTAAAAATACGTATATTTAAAATTCAGCTTGATATTTACTATCATTTATGTTTATTTGAGGATATCTTTAGCGAATCCATCAAATATGCATCTCAAGCTCAGGAAAAAAGTTGGGATACAAGCAGACTACACTGTTTTACCACTAACCACTTGTTTCGCAAACGTTAGCATCTTCAGGAAAATATTGAAACTGATAATATCCTATTCCAGAATGCTGCCTACACTAGGTGTCCCTGAAAGGTCTGTACAAAATGAAACCATAGACTCCTGGGACCAAAGTGAGAGGATTGAACAAATCTCATCTCTACTTATACCAAAACGATTCGTTTTGCCACTAGAGGACGATGCAATTGAATTTTCATTTTTAATTTTTAATCAACACCCTGCCTTTTAAATTCATGGAGGAATTTGTGCCACATATTGAATATCATTGATATAATTGATGATTGCATACGAAAATTAAGTGGGAACCTTCAATAATTAAATAATTTTGGAGTATCACGTACCTATGCATCAAAATGAATTCGGTCAATTTTATAACTTGCAAACCAATATAGAAATATCACAAATCTTCGAGAGGGCTGAAAGTTAAGTTTTTGATAAGAGAATAGAAAACAACATTGAGATCTGTTCAGTGTCGTTCTATAAATTGGTATCTAACTTTGGTCTCAGCAGTCTATGGTGTCATTTTGTACACCCTATATCCTAGGTATTTTCACCCAATCGTGAAAGATATTAGCTGCGCAGTAAATGTATGTCATGGTTCGGTTCACCTACTGTGATTCCTAATCCTAAATCACTAAACTATACTACTGAGGGCTATATGGAATGTGTACTTTATCGGTATTCATAACTCTTTCACTATTCTCAACTATTTTCTGACTCTCATATGCATCTATTTTTTTTACATTATTTACTTGTTTGACAAATTCAAAGTTACTATCCACTGGAGAAGACGAAGAATTCTGAAGGACTAACTTTTGATATTTATATCAATTGATGTGTTCTCTGGGTATATCATGGCTATCCCAGGCGCAACCAATAAAATATCTCCTACAGAGGATGTCCATTTCTAATTCATCTATGAGTATTTTATGAATATCCATCTGATCATTTGAAGGACAGAAAAAAAGCAAATAAAGGAGTATTTTCCAAATGATCATACGAAATATCTTCTGAAAGGTATTTATTACAGTTCCTCGATGGATATATCATAGATGTCCATTTCAAATCCAGGGATATCCTGACCATAATTGGATATGAAAAGGATATCCATGAAATATCCTGTGTTATGTAGGAAACAAACATTATTCTTAATTTCCATTGCCGGTATGATATGGAATATCGAAGAATACTCACCACTCTGAGGTCCAGTGAAGGCAATAATAATAGCAAGAGTGAACAAAAGTGCGAAGACAATGGTAGCAATGCACAGGGCCCTGTTGTGAGAACATGCGGCCACCCCATGGTTCTCGTAGAGGCTTTTTTTTGCTTGACCAGAACTGTTCTCGTTTCCTGCAACACCGCCTGAATCACGGTTATGAATGAGTGGTGACGACTGGCATATCGAGTGAGTGATTTGGGCATTAACTCTATGATTTGTACCTGTGAGGAAAGCCACATCGTCGACATCCTGTTCAGTCATCACCCTGTGTAATGGTCTTCAGCGTTTCACTCGTTGCTATACGATGATCACAGGTGGAGGAGATGAGTTTCCAATGCTCCTCAGAGTCCTCTGTGCACGTCTTCGACTTCGATTGTTTATGTTTTGGATGCACTCACTAGATAATAATGTTGATGTATGGATCTAGTTCAAAGGGATGAAACAGGACACTGATCTATATACCGAGCTGTAGTTGACGTCGGTCAATAAACTAAATTATCTACTATTAGTATTTGATAGTTGTACTTTACTTGATATATGTTTGTTGAAAAATGTACTTAAAAAATATGGAATTTGATGATATCGACATGAGTCGAGATCACGAGGCGTGTAGATTTTGTACAAGGAACTGTATTTACGCGAGGGTGCAAGGATTCTGCGCCATGCCGGATTTTTTCCGGAGACGCCCCTATCCGACGCTAACTCAGGAGCGTAGACATTGGGAAATGAGAGAATAAACGTCGATACTTTGGTACGCTTACGAACAGTGAAATGTGGAATAGTGGCTATATTTAAAAAACGATAAAATACTATTACGTCATCTATACGTATCTATATAGAGGAACGTATAGACAACAATTAGACATTTTCCATTATTATTTCAATTTGGTTCATACAACTATGAAATTCTCCATGGAAATAGAATCAGAAAATTCAACAAATTTATTCTTAGATTTGACAATAATCAGTTTCTCACTCACCTTCCCACACTAATTTCCGCTATTGATAATGAATCAATAACTCACCCTTATCAACATAACATGGCAACATGTATAATAGTGTGTGACACAGAGGCTTAGTGAATGTCCCTCTCTCAGAGGAAAATTTCAAAAAATAGGTAACTCATTATCATTTACCCCTAACCGGTATCCTGTTTTCCCGAAACGTAACTAGTATGGTGGAGTATTCCAACACCCCGTTTTTTATGTATGATATGAAAACCTAATCACGAATCTGCGATTGAGGTATATGAAAATAACAAGTTTCCATCGTTGGAGTTTGAACCCCTTGATTGGGTGAAAGTATTGAAAAGAAATATTCTCAGATATAATTATGAACATAAAAAAATGGATATATATATATGAAGAAATACATTGAGAATTCGCATTCTCTTCTTATGAAAATATCAATTCTTTCTCGGTTTATTCAACAAAAAACAACTACTTTTCTGGCTATATGCCACGACGAACATTGAATTATATCTATCGAACACACACGATTTGAAAACAAAATCTTCAGAAGTAGAGAATTCGCATTCTCCTTCATATAAAGATATTTACAGCGCATATAGCAATAGCATTCTGAATATTCAACAGAAAACAACAACTTTCCTGGCTATTTATTGCCACGTCGAACATTGAATTATATCTGATGAATATCCAAAAAGACAGCATGAAAAATGAGAATCCTCTGAAATTGAGAATTAACATTATCTCTCAAATCGGATAAAATAACATGATGAATAATTATGATATGACTTACCAACATGTTCAGTATTGAAATGAGAATCGAAATGAATAGGAGAAGTATACTTGCATAAACTCTGATCTTGATGAGCTTTTGGAACTTGTGTATGATTGAGATGCACAAACAATGATTGAAGATATGGAGAAAATGAAAACAAATGCTTTCAAGAACCGGCAGTTCGGTGTGTTATGAATTTATTGGATATTTGAGAAATAGAAATGTTGTTCAATTTGCCTATAATATTGGTATCAATTAATTCAATACGGAAATCTGAGGTTATTGAATTCCTGAATGAACTCTTGATGTTTTTGTAACAGATCAAAACGTGTATCAATCGAAATAGCCAGCCTATAATTTTCAAAGTTCAATGATTCAAAAATGATTACGAATATCAATATGGATGCCAAGACAAAAGATGGTTGTGTTTCGATTTTGTATCACATGGTCAAAAAATATATGGGATGTTCTGTTTGAAAAACTCGAGAATAATCACTTTAAAAAGTTACCAACATGTTCAGTATTGAAATGAGAATTGAAATGAATAGGAGAAGTATACTTATTGTATAAACTCTGATCTTGATGAGCTTTTGGAACTTCGTATCATTCGTATCAGTGATATGGAAATTATATCTCTCACAAACAGGTTATATGACTTCACTCGAATAAACTCATTTCGGATATCGCAATCCTCATCAGTAACCTGATGAATAAGTCCAGTTGGCTAAAAGAATAACTGGACCCTCCAAAAGGCATACTGGGTGAAATCACGTTCAATTCAATTCGATTCAATTCAATTATTTTATTGTTTACACAAAACATACAGTTTTATAAACCAGAAATTCGGTGGTACATATAATGGTAACAATATGAATATCTATATGATATGAAAAATAAATGTAATAATATCAAACTCATTTCCACACAGTGTTCATAAAATGAACAACAACGGTAGATTTCGGGAGAAAAACAACTGCTTCCCTGGCTAATGCCACGCAGGATATTGAATTACATCCTCCAGAAATCTATGCATCGACTCGTATAAACGAATACTGATACAAGTGATTCTTTCCTGAATGCCTATTGATTTCGATTAAGCCAGGCCGCTAGACAACCACAGACCGGTTTCGAGCTCTTTGACTCTCATCAGTGCAGTGTAGTCTCCAGCCAGCAGTCCTAAGACCGCCGACTCAGCGAAGCCTAGCCAAACAAAAATCAAGTTGGCATTATATCCACCCCGAGGCGTCTTTCATCGATAAAATGAAAGTAACGCCATCTGAGTAGAACCGAGGAAAGAATCACTCCAAAACTGAAATTCTGACGAGATTTTTACATTTATTTAACATTTCATTCCACTGTGAGCATTGTGGCTATTTCGTAGTGAATATGGTATGGTCTATTCAAAAAACAAAAAGAAAAACAACAACAAAAAAGAAAAAGTTTCAAAATATTCCAAATATGTGAAGATATTGACTTTGCTGCAGTGGGTGAAATATTATTGAGTGCGCGAATCAAATTGTTCATATTCTCTAAGCAGGGAGTATTACAAGGTCGCGCATCGATGTGTAAATTGGGCAATCAAATAATAAATGATGGATTGTTTCAAGCTCATACCGATTACAAACTGAGCGTTGAACCACGATAAATAAATCTTATCATGAATTTGTTACATAATCTGAGTTGTCCAATAGTTCTTGTGACTTGAATCGACACCTTCAAGTGTAGATAGTTTTGGGTTTGATTAGCAAGTGTAAGAGACTGGGATATTGAGAGGAATGTTGACCTTAGAAACAGGGATTTGTCTTCTTCTTTCAGTCTGTTCATATACCTAGAGAGCAGGATCGACTTCTTCAAAATCTATCACTGTACCTGCCGGTCTAATTATGATTTCTGGGCGAGAGCTGCTATAGAAGAGGTTCACCATCGGCTGAAAAAGTCCTCAAGATATACCTATGTAACATCCCCAGTCTAAGTAGGAACATCAACTATTTCCATCGCGACACCTTCAAATTTAAAAGACAGACATATACTGGCTCTGACTGAGACATAAGTCAATTCATCCACCAACACAACCTATATGCTCTGTCCTGATGAGTATGAACTCCACACACGTTTCAGGTTCGAGGGTGGTCTCTCTGCCTCTATTCTAAAACAAACCTCTCATGTCATTTTGAAATAAAGAAATCGAATAAGTTTGATGGTATGTGGTTCAAACTCGATAGCAAGAAACAGACCAAATATCCGTGTTATCTCTACTTATCACCAAATGATCCATCCATTTTGCTGAAATTACAGCCTGGAGAGCCAACAACCTAGTTGAATTCATCAGTACCATCAAAACTCAAGCCTGTAGGAATGCGGAACTCAGTATGCCTGATATAACAAGGTACTTCCATTCCCACCAAGTTCAGTATATCTATGCTCGGTATTTCCATCAGCAATAGTCTTACATGGGATAATCATGTCAGATCCATGGGGAAGGCTGCTTCACAAAAACTCGGATTTTTGTTACGTGCGAAAGGCTACTTTACACCTCAACAGCTTCTCATTGTCCACAGAGCACAGAGATGGCCTGTTCTAGAATAATGTTCCCACATATGGGGTTCAGCACCCAAACATACGCTGGTGCTTTTAGATTCCATCCAGAAAAGAGCCATTCGCCTGGTGGGTGATGCAACACTCACAAACTCCTTTTTTCTAAAGACACTTTCACGGGAACTGTTCTTCAGAAATCTCTGCTATCATCCCATCACTAGCAATGCCAGTCAGATGATCTCGACAAACCCCGTCAGCACATCTTCCCTGTTTTAACCTCGAAATATGTCGAACGGCAGTTTACCGAAACTTTTTCTACGGCAAAGCTCTGAACTTTTAATCCCCAAAAATGCCAATACCGACCACCTCTGATTTGGCCAGCACTTATGGACGGGTCCATTGTATGGTGGACCAGTACCAATAATAAGGAAAAGACCAAAGGAGAACTGGATAAAGTCCGGAGATAGGCATGCCAGAAAATAGCAGGGCGTGTTAGGTCTGCCGCCTCTACACCTGTTCATTCAACACGAAGCCATGAGACTCAACGGCGCAAACCATCAGTGGGTCGGAACAGAAGCAGATCATGGAAACTTTCTCACATGGAATGAGGCAAAGGAAAACTGACCCATCCTCATGATGATGAGAAAGGACAGTACCTTGCCGATTCTGAACTTAAACAAAGCCCCAAACATTGTCATCCCTACGAGGGAAGAATGAAATGACACAACACCAGGCGTTCATACTACCAATGAGTCTGCTGGTACACGGATGGCTCTGAATTTGGGGGCAGTTCAGGTGCTGGGGTATACAGTGAAGGAACAGTAAAATAAATCTCGGTTCCTTTGGACGAATATGCCTCAGTGTTCCATGCTGAAGTACCTGCAATACTGATTATGAGAAATCGTAGACCAATCACTATATGCTCGGACAGCAAAGCTACAATATAGTGGCTTCGCAATCCAATAGGATCACAACCA